GTGGCCCTCTATTCTATAGGGAGAGGCATCCAAAGTGCGGCCCGGGGCCATTTATAGCCATTGGAGTGATTTTGTGTGGCCCCCCAAATGCAATTCAAGAATGACACAAATTGGCCTGTCCATCACAGGACAAATTTGTAGAAATTTACAGTAGAAAAAGTATAAAAGTATAATAATAAGTAGAGACGTTTACTGAAAACCCAACTTTGCTTTGCCTAAATCAGCAGAATATATTTGTTCAATCAGGCCCAAAATAATTTGAGAAAATCATGCAAAATAATTTTAAAGTTTTGGATCCTTTGTCTACAAAAAACAATAACATCTTTCATTGCTTGATTTTAATACTTTTATTATAATTATTTATTAATTTTTTGTTGCATTCTCACAAATCAAATCAGATTTTGTATAAGACTAGTCTTTGCACTGTGTACTTTATTACTCTTACTTTACTACATTTTGTCATGAGGTTAGTCGTCATGACCCACATCAAGGACTCCATCGACGTCACTGTGGGCCCACATCAGTACACCTACAGGAAGAACCGCTCCACTGATGGCGCCATCTCATTGGTGGCCCACATAGCCTCTCCCACATGGAGAGCAGGAATCCTTACATCTGTCTGCTATCTGTGGATTTCTCCTCGGCCTTCAACGCCGTCATCCTACTGGTGCAGAAACTGTCCTCTGTTAGTCCTGGACTTCCTGACCAACACACAGACCTCAAACAAACATTATAACCCTCGACCTGCTAACCGCAGGGCGCATCACGAACATCCAGCGTTTTCAGTAGCCATAAAATTGCACATATTTAAATTACGAAAATAAATTTGCCTAACAGACCAATTTTGAAAAACCTCACATTTTTATAAATAATTTTTTTTATTGCGCTAGGATGAGGTGGTTTTTAAATAGTATCAAGTATTTCGCAATGGAAAAACCTTTTCTGCATTGTACACGTCACGCGATCCACAGCCAGATGTTACTACTGACGAAAACCACAAAGAAGACAACAGGCAGGAGTAGAAGGATGATAGTTTGTTTTTTGCTGACAATGTAGAACTGGCTCTTCTGCAGAATCAAGATCCACAAAATGCTGCATACTTAGTCATTCCCAGAGGCTTGTGCTCCAATGAATAAGACACGGACAATCTCTAAATTATGAATATACATCATATAGCTGTACACATTTGTTGCTGGCACGATATTTGGTGCCTTATCCTATCAAAAAGCATATTCATTTGTCATTTAAATTTTTTATTTAATGGAAACACTGCAATTGTGAAATTGTATTTTAAAGACATTAGCAGAACATAGATGAATATTTGCAAACATTTGTAATGGAAAGTTTTTATTAGAATTCAGAATATAAAGATTTGCGCACATTCCTATTTGTTTTCTGCTAATGTCGCCTCCCAGAAAAGCCAAAGAAAATAAAAGGATGGATGGCATTAATTTATATCACCTATTATATTCTTTGAACTTGTTTGTTGACGGCATGTAAAGCAAAACCTCCAGAAGCTCCTGGTGGCAGGATTATTCAATAAAAGCTTTTCCTACTGGTACAAACATTGATAAGGACAGATAAACCATCTCCAGAGATGACGCATGTGGTTCATATCATACTCCGACGGCGCCCTCTTGTGGCAGAAATGAGAATAAGTTGAAGTAGTGACTCGTCCATTTTAAAGAGTTCAAAATGTCTTCAGAAAAGTGACTTAATTCAAAGCACGAGTCAATGTGCTGTAGATAAAAACACATTTGTGAGCAGAAATGATTTACAATATTAACAGATTTGCTGGTAAGAAACTATTAATTTTGATTTTAGTCATGCCTTAAATGATGTTTAACATTAATCAATATCTCTGTTATTCTAGCTTTGTATTAGCTGTTCAAAGACCAAACATGCTTCAGGATGTTTGTCCCACGAAAACCGAGGTAGATAAAGTTGAGAAATATTTGAGCTGCCCCGGTCATATGGATGTGTATTTTTGTTTGTGAAGAGTATGTATGTCTCAGTATTTGTATCAAAAGGGTAAATAAAAACTGACAAGTCAATTTTAACCAACAGGTATTTTAATTGAAGGACCAGTACACATAACAAAAGATCAACTATGTAAAACCTAATATGCAAACCTTGACTTGAGTTCACTACAGTTTCAAATAAATGCAAAAATTTCTGCTTCTTCAACAAGGATAACCAACCATTAACAGATGTGGGGAAGTCGCAAATCAAAAACACAATCAAAAGGGGGAAATTATTCACTTTTCCCCCCAAAGTCTTTTCTTGCTTTTGCACAGTGAAAATGACAAACTACTGACACAACGTCAAACTACACAGTACATTCATGGACATGAACCAAAAGCTTAGATTAAATCTGGAATGCAGGGAGGGACGACGACTGTGTCAGGATCATCAAAACGTGGCGCGTTGGTGACAGCGATGAGGCGTTGCACCTTTACTCCGTGTGTTTGAAGACAAGTCATAACAAAAGAAAAGGAGGGACACTAAAAGGCGTTAAAATAAAAAAAAAAAAAGACGAAACAAAAACAAACGATCGCACATCGATGCTGGAGTCCATCATATGAAATGGCAGAGCCTGTAAAAACGTTCATCTGCAGCTCCCTTTAAACCTGACATGACTCTCCTCTATCTTCTTTCAGTAGACCTGGAGCGGCTGTGGGGTGAAGAGGGGAAATGTTCATGGATACGGGGTGACAACATGTACAAAAATAAACAAAAAATATCCCAAACTTGACATGCAAGCAGCTAACAAATGCTGCTTTGTTAGCAAAAATATATTTAGACTTTAGCCTTTTCCACTTTCTGCTGTGTCTACAGCTGCAGGCCTTGTGGGTGTGTCTCTATTAGCTCTGTGTATCTGCAGACTGAAATGTCAGCCCATCCTTTGCAAACCAACACAACCTCAGTGGTATTAGAGGCTGCTTTTCTCTCAGGGTTGCCCTGCATTTAGCTCCATCCATGTTCCCATTAACTCTAACCAGTTTTCTAGTCCCTGATAAAGTAAAGCCTCCACATGCTGTAGTGCTGGCAGCACCACATGACACCGTGGGAGGTCAGAGCTATGTGTGATATTAATTTTACAACAGCAATTTTCCTGCAGCATAAAATGTTCAGTTTTGGTTTCATGGGGTCAGAGCAGGTTCTTCCATGTTTTTTTTTTTTGTTAAAGATTGAGATATTTTATTTTACTTTCACAATTATGCACAATTTTGTGTTGTTTCATCACACATACCACAGTTTGTGGTTGAAACATGACAAAATATGAAAATGCTGCCAGAACAGCAAATAATTCCAGCTAATCATCTTGAGAAAACGGCAAATTTAAGGCGTTAAGTTTCATTAATTCAGCTCACCGGAACCTACGGAATCTCTGGACTTTTATGGTTTTCTCGATTCAAATTAATTATACTGATATAAATCTGTAAATGGCACTCTGAAGAAACCCGTTTGTAATGGGAACGTTTGTCAAGAACAGCATTTGTTTCTGGTGCTATGACCTAAAAAAAATAACGAATAAATTGTTTTTTTGAATCATAAATGTTATCGTTATTGCAATAGTACCACAAAATATTGCAGTAAAATTCGGCCCACCTGTACTGGACTATAAGGCAAAAGATAAGGCAAAGTATTAATACCTTCTAGAACGAGAGAAGGACCTGGAAGGCTTATGGTTCCTGTCCCGGGAGAGGGACCTCTCTCTCCTCCTGTCTCTTGACAAAGACCTGGAAAACAAAATAAGAAAGATTCAAGTAAAGCAAGTTTCATTTTTCTGGTGACTCTGGTAGCTCACCTGGTGTCATTTCATTTAAAAATGGAAATAAATGTAAAAGGTACAATGTATTGTTTGTGGTTAAGTTAGCAGTATTGAATAATGGGCGTTCCCAGGCTTCCATGCAAATACAACCTGACAAAATTCAGCCCACAACGAATGCTTTAATGCACCATTCAACTTTCAGTTCAGAGTACTTGAAATATCCTATTAGGATTCACAAATGAGTTTAAAAAAGGTAAACGTAGGAGCTGACGAACCTGCTTCGGCTGCGGCTGAAGCTTCGCCTGCGAGGGGATCTGTGCAAGAGAAATACAAGTGTTTAAAAGCGAGGACAAATTGACTGATTAACCTGCAGAACTGCAAATTATTATAGTCCTACTATCCTGGGTTACCTCAGCACAGCCCTTTGTCTATTTCAGTTACTTAAAGGGAAACAATTTACAGTCACTGGCAACAAACCAAGCACATAAAGGTGGCAGACACTTAAGAATCCCCTCTCAACTATTCTACAGTACAATTCGGTTAAATGTGAATTTTAGTTCAGTTTGTAAGGTGTGCTTTTTAAAACAAGTTGATGAAATTGGACAATTATTCTCTCTGTGACAGGGCCCACGCGGGGGAAACTGAAACATTAAGGGGCTGCCATCTGTATGAAACTGGTCCACTGCACTTAAAGTGGCACCATGACAAATTGAGGCCATTTCTGTCAGAAACAACCAGCTAAAATCCCAATGACCCAAGAGATTTGAAAGTCATTGGGGAATCTGAAGTGTGTTTTAATTGTGTGATTCTAAAAAAATAAATATATATATATATATATATGCATATCAAAGCTCTGAAAACATGAAACAAGTTCCAGAGATTTGATATTGTACCACACCCATTTGGAAAAAAACCAAAAACGACTACAAAAGTTGTGGACAACAAAATAAAGCTATGAATGAGAAAAATAAAGAATAACCTCTTCAACCAGCTGTGTCTTCACTGTTAAAACTGTAATCTGCAGTGTACTGAATGAAGCAGGAAAACTTACTAGTATTTTTGGATTTCAACAAGCTAGAAATGACGAAAGGGAGGCAGACTGTCGGCCGGGTGGGTAGAATTGGCTGAATGAGACTGGCCAGATGCTGCAAGGTGATAAGTTGGCAGGCAGATGGGGGCTGCTTGTGGCTTTATTCCTGCTTTAATTGGTAAGCTGCAGGCTGCTGCTGGTGGAGTGTAGACTTTTGGAAACATAATACGCTGATTGGTCGGGAATGTGAGGTAGGCCGCTGCCGTTTGGTTAAAGGTTGAAGGAGGAGGAGGTTGAGAACGGCATGCTGAGGAACCAATGGGCTGGTGCAACCTGACGACTGGCCATGCCCGGGTCATGTGACAGCACCAGCCAAGCTGATTGGGGCACGATGGTCAGCAGTCACATGATGCTGAAAGAGGACTAGTTGACTGACTCAGAGGGTGGTGAGAAGAGGCATGGTGGTGGCTCTGCAACGGGTTTCATTCTTATTAATATAGATGAAAAGTAAAAAACATCCTCAAACAAGAAGGAAAAAAAAAAAAAAAAAAAACACATTTGCCACTTTCACCCCCCGCCCCCAAATCCGTAAAACAGGTTAAACTATTCTTTTTAAATAAGAGCCTAAACCGGTTTTCAAATACCTATTTTGCCACTGTAAAGAAGCTAGTAGTAGGAGTGTACGCAACAAAAGGAGCATTGATGCTTAAAGCAAAACTCAATGCCGTGCGTGCCATTCTAATGAGGAATTTTGTAGTAGACAGGAGAGATGGAAGGTCCTGCTACTATTGCTATTAATCTGTTTTAGATATCATTTTTGGTCAAATTTAAAACAAGCTTTACAAAGTGCAACAGTCACCAATGTAAGCTCAGCAGGAAAAAAAGCTCTACAGAAGCCTAGAATGGAAAACCACAATCACTTATCAGGAAAAATACTGTCAATAGGAGAAATGAAAGAGTAACTCACAGAGAAAAATGCAAACACATAATATTGAGAACAATATCAAGATGTAGGTCACCTTCGCCTCGGCGGTGGGCTGCGCCGCCGGTAATCGTCTCGATCTCGAATGCGCCTGCCCCACGAGGGAGGTGCACCGCGGGTGCGACTGCGCTTCTCACCGTTGGACAGTTCCACTCGCACCCGGCAACCACAAAGTGTCCTACAAACCAATTAAGCTGTGAGTAATGGCATGTAGCACAAGTCCAACCTGTTTCCATGCTTTTGTAATTATGGCTTGAGATACGCGCATCGTGACCCACCTTCCATCTAACTCACGCACGGCATCAGTCGCATCTCTGGGATCTTCAAACTCAACAAAGGCAAAACCCGGGGGATTCCTGGCCACCCACACACTACGCAGTGGGCCGTAGTAGCCAAAGGCCCTCTCCAGCTCCGTCTTGTTTCCATTGTTTCCCAGATTTCCAACATAAACCTTACAGTCGAGGGGACAGTCCCGATGCATGGCTGGATCTGAAATAAAGAATAACAGATTATAAAACAGCAGTAAGTACAATTCATTAAAAAAAAAGCTGTGCTGAACTGCCCTATCTCTAAAATAATAATAATAAAAACACAAAACCTACGCATATCACATACTTTTAATAAATCTGAATTATATTGCTTTAACTTTAGATTAAAACATGAAAAATATGGACTGGATTGTTCAACCCTAAACTAAAAATGCCTTAATGTTTATTTTGTGATGTGTGAAAATCTTTTTCATAAAGACACAAGTTTGCTTCAATGTTTTTAGGCGGAGAAATTCATCTTAAATTGGTAATATTTAAAAACCTCAACCAGACCTACAAGTTTCAACAAACTACGCTTTAGATTCCCCAAAAGCAGCAAAACAGTCTTAAATATTACATCGAAAGCCAATATCAACAACACGTTTTGTTTCTTTATATTCAGTTTTAATACATTATTTACGAACACGCTTAAAATCATAGTATTTCATCGACAAGAGGCTAAATACCATTAATTTGCATGCTCTACCCTCGAGAGCATACCCAGTTTTCTACCTCAACTACAGTTCATGCTAACCAATAACGTACTTCGATTCTACACGAACTATCCTTAAATTACATTTCATGAAATCACTTCTTAATTAAAATCCAGATCAATATGATGCATTTTAAAAAGTGAAAACTCGATGCAGATTACACGACGAATGTGTTCAAAAGAATCGCTAAAATGGCTGTCGCTTTTCCGGGGCCTACTCGTAGAAGCGGCGCTAACAGCCGCAGAAACCGAACAATAAAAGCACACAAAGCTGAGGCGGTACGATAACGCTAACCAAAATAATATTTTAGATGCGACTCCGCAGGATTTACAAGAACACATTCTGCATAAACTGTACCGTATTTAATGCAGCTTGCAGATTAAAGTTTCAGCGTCTCCACCGCAGACGTGCTCCTCTCGGAAGTCGACGGAAAATGGCGTGTCGGAAAGGACGTTTGTGTGTAGCTTAGCCGCCAGAAAGCTGTTTCCGGTAGGGCGGGCCTTCCGTGTCATACTTTTCTCTCAAGACTCTTTCGTACAAATTAGCTAATGCGAAAATACTTAAGTCTCTGCGTACAAATATTACAAATACAATCCTGAATATACAATTAAAGTTTGTTTTCGAAATTTCAGATATTTCGGAAATGCAATACCACGTTTGGCCACAAAGTTAGGACGACTGTCGATGTGGCGCTGTTTCAACATTTTTGAAATCTGGTCAACAATCTGCAGCTCTGAGGCTCATCTGGCTCTTTGGACCTTGGACCTTGAAAAACTACCCTTACAAACTTTGGTTAAATATTAAAAAGAACCAACAAATGTTTTTAAATACTGGTATAAAAACAAATGCAGGTTTTAGCAGTTTGTCCGTTTTTTAAAATATAGTAGTTGCATTGAATATCCACAACATAAAGACAATCTATTTTATACCAGTTATTCTTGTCATTAAATTGAAAACTATGTGACTAAAACATATTCAGTTCAATTGCCAAAATTTTAAGTTTTTCTTTTTTTATTTTAAGAAAATAAAAATATAATTAAAATGATGGCTCTTTAAAAATAACACTTAATTATGTGTTATTTAATTGCACACGTATGGATATGATTTCCGACTTAATGAAAACATAACATTTAAATTTAGAATATTACTTTAGACCAATATAAAAACTATTTTAAAAACAGACATGTTTTCAAAACCATTTCTTTTTTAAAAACATAAGTGGTTGTAATGGTACCTATTTTCACAAAGTACTTTTGACAAAATAGGACTCATCTGGGTGTATATTCTAAAAAGTCCCGTAACCTTTCAGGGTCTGAACAAGTTTTATTCAACTGGACTGAGGACAAAAATTTCAGTTGTAAAGGTTGCAGACCATAGGATTAGTCTAGCTCAAAATCGGTCCACAATAAGAAGGTGTTGAAATGATTACAAGTACAATGGTAAAAAAAACTGCAGTTTAATTGTTTTTAGGTTTGCTTTCAATTGTTTAGTTATGACTCCCACAAACCATCTGAAAAAAAAAACATCAGGGTGTCATTAACTTCAATTTATATGGGGTTGTGGTGGTTTTCATTGTTTTCCTGTATTGCTTTTTTAATGCATCTTGTACATAAATTCCCACAAAACAATCCATAGTGAAATTACTTGCCAAAACACTCATTTTCAAAGTTGCTTTTTAAGGGTCGAATGTTGTTCTTTACAATTATTTTTTACTTTTTCTTTTAGATTTAATAGGCGCAGTTGGTAGAGCTGTTGCCTTGTAGCAAGAAGTTTCTGGGTTCGATTCCCGGCCCCACTCTTTCTGCATGGAGTTTGCATGTTCTTCCTGTGCGTGGGTTTTCTCCGGGTACTCAGGTTAATTGGCCTCTCCAAATTGCCCCTAGGTGTGAGTGTGTGTATGCATGGTTGTTTATCTCTGTGTTGCCCTGCGACAGACTGGTGACCTGGCAACCCTGCCTCTCACCCGGAACGTTAGCTGGAGATAGGCACCAGCAACCCTCCTGACCCCACCAAGGGACAAGGGAGTAAAGAAAATGGATGGATGGATTTAATAACCAGTTCCATTTAGATTTAAATAGTCTCCAAGGACTACCTAAATGCTCAAGGAATACTTTGTGTCATTATTACTATTACTACAAATAATGAATGCAAATATGTAAATTGGGAATATTTTTGCTTTATTTTAATCTAAATGTATTTCACTCTGATTATTGTATTTGTAATGAAAACAAACAAACAAAAACAAATCCTTTATTTTGAAATGGCAAATTGACTCACTATTAGTGACCCTAACAATGCGGCCCAGAAATATTGCAGACATCTTCTTCACCATTATTGCATCTAAATTATTTATACTATGCGCTCAGACAAAGCCATCACTCTGATAATGTTTTCTTTTCAAAACATCAGGCTTCAGACTTAACTCACATGTTGCTAGATTTCACTTAACGATCTATCTATCTATCTATCTATCTATCTATCTATCTATCTATCTATCTATCTATCTATCTATCTATCTGTCTATCTGTCTATCTGTCTGTCTGTCTGTCTGTCTGTGTGTGTGTGCTTCTGGTGTAACAGCATGGTATGCAAATGACTACAAACGGGTACTTAAATGAATTATTTTGTGTACGGAAGTTTGAAACATTTTATCAGTTAGAACACGAGAACAACGTAGATTGCATGTAGAGAGGGACATGTTACTCTCTATGTTTATTCTAAATTAATTTAATGTTTCGGGCAGTATGAAAATATTTCTGGTAAAAAAAAATTGGTCAACTAAAAACAAAACACAACACGTAAATAAAACGCCGTCTTTGTATAAATCTGTTTTCCCAGTTACATTGAAGGCATCCTCACGCACGACACGCCCCGGCAGGCTGTTAGTAGCTGCCCACAAAGTTTCTCAGCCAGGTGACAGTTGAGTCAGAAGAGAAACAGCACGGACGCTGCCTACGCAACCAAACTGGATACATAAAGATATTTTTCATCTCCAAGCCAAAGTCAGTCACAGATTATTTGCTAGTAATATAGTTTACTGAGTTTTTTTTTTAACGTCGTAAACCATAAAAACCTTCCTTCCGCCCTCTTTTGAACAGTGAGCAGCTAGTAGTAGTAGTAGTAGTAGCAGCAGCAGCAGCAGAAGAAGGACATTTAACGTTAGCTCACGTCGTTACTTCAGCGGTCGCTGTATTTCTGTCCAGGTAAGGTTTCACTGCTGCCAACATGTCCGAGACAGCCGGGGATGCGAAACCGGAGGTGAAGCAGGCGAGCAAAGAAGTGAAGGAGAGCGAAAATGTCGCGGAAAAATATTCAGCCATGACCGTGAGCAAGAACAGCGAAATTAACATGGGAGAGCTGTCGTCGGTGTTCAGCGCTGTGCCCACTCACAAACCAGTTAAAAAGGTAAGGCTTCTTAAGCTACATTAACGGGCAGCTTAACGGCATCCATGGAGGACGTTTAGATGGCAACTCTGTGCTCATGCTGTCTACTGTTACGTAAATGTTTGTGGCTGCATCTCGTCTGTTTCTCGTCATGATTTATCCAGACGGACTTTTTAATAGTTGAAGGCTAAACAACTGTTAATAACGTACTGCAGAGCTACATTTATTCCGCTCTGCTTCACGTGATGAGTTGTAAAAGTATTCTTGCTTTATCAACTTTTTCTTATTTTGTATCCTTAAGCCACAAACTTCATGTATTTGATTACATTTGGCATATACAGAGCTGTTCGTCGTTGTGATGTGGCTTGTGAAAGACCAGCTTTGAACATCTAAATTCTTAAGTTTTAGATGAATCTTCCACAAATTTAAAGTGTTTCGTGAGGCATGATTGACTCATGCAAACCATAATCTAAGCCATTCAAAACTGAGCTCTGTCTGTATGTCCAGGAATGCAGTCCTGAGGAAATATAAACCTCCACTACAGTCTCTACCTGCTGAAGAAAAGTATTCCCACACCACTATACTGCCACCACAGTGTTTTACCATGGGTACCATATATTCAGGGTGTTAGTTTTTCCAGATCACTGAGCCTATTGCTAACTGTTTCAACTCACCAGGCCACCTTTTTCACATGTTATTTGTGTCCCCTGCATGGCTTTCGGCAAACTTTAATCATGCCTTGTCATTTTTTTTTCTTGCCACTCTTTCATATAGTCCAGATTTGCTGAATTGACAACTAAAGGTCGTCCTATAAAAATATTTTTCCATCTAAGCTGTGGCATTTCTGCAGCTCCTCCAGAGACGCACTGGGCCCCTTTACCTCCTTTACTTATTAATGTTCTCCTTGCACAATTTGTAAAAACAAAAAACAAAAACATGTATAATTGTCCTTCCACTTCTGGTCATTGTGTCTTAATTCATTTGCAAGGTTGTACAAGGCTGTACATACAACTTGTTAAAAATTTATAATTTGTAAGTAACATCATGTTTCCTGCTAAGATCTTGAAGTTATAGGATATACCTAATTAGAAATACTTCCTGGTTTTTGTTTTTAAACAAACTGCTGTATTATATTTATAGGTCTCTGAATCAACAGGGCTATTTGTTCTTTTGTAAACTTCCCAAAAGTCAGATGTTACCCAACACTTTGAAGGAACAGGGAGGAGTTTGACCTTCCTGAGGCTTCATTAAAGTCAGACAGGAATGGAAAAAAAAATACTAGCAGCAGATTTTTGAAAATATGCCAACTTCAAGCTGGTATACCCCTAGGGAAAAGAAGTTTAGTTAAATCACAGTCTAATGCCCTCAGCCCATGGGTTCCAAGTCAAAGTTTCTGCTTTGTTTAATTTCACTGTTTCACATCCTCTTTTTCTTTTAAGTAGGCCTGTTACTCTGCAGCAGTAACTAAATTTGCTTTAGTAGTTGTTTGCATAGCCAAAGAGTAAGATATTTTTTGAAGCAGAAATAATTTTGTTCCCTGAAAACAGATTAACAAATAATAAAATGTATTTGAGGTCACAGTTTACTGGATAGTTTTGATTATGATTTTGTAGGAGAAAAACTTACAATTTCCTGGAACAAATGGCAACGCTGTCAACTGTCATGAGACGCATTTTATCCCAGTTTTAAGATGGTAATTTATGTCTTATGCACTTATGTGTTTGGCGACATATTTGACAACACAAAGAGCGGTGCAGGGGAAAATATGTTTATCTCAGTTAAGATGTGAGACTGATTTATCTTCTAGACCTATTTTCATGCCATCTTGTCACTTTGGCCTGTTTCAGCCAACAGTCACCAAACAGTCACCAAAAGCTCAAACATTCAGAATCTGATTATTATCTTAAGATAAGCATACCATGCAGGAATACAAATATTGTTATGTATGTACAGTTCCTTGCAAGAATATTTGTACCTATTGATGTTTTCCACAAATTCATATGGATTTTTTTTAGGATTTTTCTGATGGACAAATGCAAGGTATTGCATAATTGTGAAATGGGAGGTAAATTATTTTGATGCATTTTTTTAAACAAAAATATAAAAAGTATGGCATGGACTTGGTGTGATCTGACTACATGGTTCAACAATCTTTCCACTCTTCCATCCTGAAATTGTGGAATGCACAGCTGATCATTTTCCTGTGGCGCTCTGCAGCTCCTCTATTATTTCCTGGGGTTTCTGAACCACTTCTCTAATTTTAATAGGTTTGTGTTTTTCCACTTTTTATTTTCGGGTGAGGGGTTGAACCGTGCTCCGTGTGATGTTCGAAGCGTGGGATATTTTTAATGACCTAACTACTTTAAACTTTCTGCCTGACCTGTCTGCTGCCTTCTTTGATCCTCTCAATTGTTCACTAATGTTCCCTAACAAACCTCTGAGGCCTTCACAGTGTCTGGATTTAAACTGAGATTAAATTACATCCAGGTAAACTCTGTTTACAAATTAAATGACTCCAAAAGCAATTGATTACACTAGATTTTATTTTGGGGGTACAGGAGTTAGAGAGACTGAATACAAAATGTAATACATGCCAATAATTTAGATAAAAAAATATATAATAATTTTCCTTCCATTTAAATATTATGTGCTGCTTTGTGTTGGTCTATAATAAATAAAATTATGTGCATTGAAGTCTGTGGTCATAAGCTTAGTTACACAATGAATAACTTTGTTATGCACAACAAGATTTCTTTAAAGGTCTATAAATGTTTAGCTGATTTCTATCAACAATGGAAACGTGTAGCTCAAGAGGTAATGGGCTCAGCTTATTAAATGATCCATAACACAAATAGTTGCATGAAGTCAAAAACATGACACCTTTTTACTTCCATCCATCCATCCATCCATCCATCCATCCATACATCCATACATCCATACATCCATACATACATACATACATACATACATACATTCTCAGTCATCAAAAATGTGCTGCTTTGATTATAAATAAGCTGACATGGCAAAAGAGACTGCTCTATTTTATAAGCATAATGTTTACTAATTTATGCAACACGCATACATTTTTCATAGCAGTGCAGTTGAGTAGGGGGCGGGGGGCTGTTCACTAGCAGTATAAGTTGGATTGGGACATCTAAAACCAAATTTCCAAAGGCGGCTTAAGCATCTATTTTTGGCAACAGAAAAGAGAAGCTTGCTAGCTATAAAAGAATTATGATGGGACAAGAAAAATAAACCCATCTGACTTCATTCAGTTTTAGTAAAACTACAATACCACCACACAAAATACTTAAAACAATTCCACTGCATTTTCTTCTAATAAAATCCTTTTGCTTTTGTGTTTTTTTTTTTGTGCTGACTTTACATTTGTTTCATATCATAACAGTTTAAACCAAATAATTGTTTGTTTGTTTAATAGCAAATTCAGTTTGTTGAGGAAAAACAGGAGTTCAGCAGGTTTCCCACCAAAACCGGCCGCCGTTCCCTGTCCCGCTCCATCTCGCAGTCCTCCACCGACAGCTACAGCTCTGGTAAGAGTTCACATCATGCACACTGCGCCACATACACACCATCAAGACATCCTAAGTATTGTTATTTATGCATTTTCTAATTTCAGCTGCGTCCTACACTGATAGCTCAGATGACGAGTCTTCGCCTCGGGACAAAACACAAGTCAACTCGAAGGGCAGCAGCGACTTCTGCGTGAAAAACATCAAGCAGACTGAATTTGGGAGACGTGAGATCGAGATAGCAGAACAAGGTAACGCATGACAGACACAGTGAACTGAGCAGCTCACTTGTAGCTGATTCATCAAAAACGCAGACGGAAAATCTGTCTTCATGTGCTTTTTTTTTTGAAACCAGACAATGCAAGTTTCTATGAACTTTTTGGTTAGGGTTTTTCTGATTAAAAAAAAAAACCTGACCATTTATTACACATTTAACAACAGATTTGAAAATAAAAAGCACCTGGTCAACTAATGTAATGAGAAACAGGCTAAGACCAGCTGACTGATTACCGACCATTTTCTTAAAAAACTTCAGTTTTTTGTTGTATCAAGAAGGCTGATTGTCTTTCAGTGACTTGATGGGCAAAATTTTTCATAATATGCTAACTAAAAATACAATTTAAATTTTAACATTATTTTGTGTCTGCTGTATTAAATACCGACTGAAGAATGACCAGCGACGCCCTCTTCTGGATGGCGACCAAACTACAACACTAAACAAAGTTCTTAGCGGATGATATTAATTAATCAATTGGAGCTAATTTTACTCTAGTAAACCATTAATCGACAATTATTATTGTTACCCATAGATTAAACAGTTATTATGGGAAAGAGTGGTTTCATTTAACTATAAACTCACTGGTCACCATAAGATAAGATGCTTGTTGCGTTTTAACAAAACTGCTGACCAGTTAGCAACACGCTCAGGCACCTAGACTCTGACGTTCAAACAGAGTAACAGAACAAAATCCAATTTAAGTAACTAAGAATGGTTATTGGTGCCAAACAGGCTGTAATGAATAACAAAGTCTTTATTTAAGCTGCAACATTTAGACAGGAGAAGAATTTGTTGTAAAGACCAAAAGCATGAACCATAATGACTAATGTCATCAGTTCAGTAGTAGAGTAATTGCATTGGGCCTCTTATTATTAACTGAATATATTTTAAACACCACCACTTTACCCGAGTTTTGCTATTGACCATTTCCATCCATTAAAGACTCAAATGCCCTCAAGAATTAAGATAGTTGTGAAGACAAATGGGTGTTCGACCCGCTTCTAGTAAGTTCTGTTACACACTTTAACAGAGTGCATGTAGAAATAACCGTCTCTCAGAGGGATATTGTGAAAACTATGAGTTTTTCAGCATCATCTGTGTTTCTGTTTCTCCCTCTCACTATTTGTTATGTTGTTCAGATATGTCGGCGCTGATCTCACTCAGGAAGAGAGCACAGAGTGAGAAACCTTTAGCGGGTGCCAAAATCGTGGGCTGCACTCACATAACTGCTCAGACTGCAGTAAGTTTTTTTTTTTTCTCCCTCATATCAAACTTTAGTGGCTTAACAGAGGCTTGGCTGCACACTGTAATGTTTTCGATGAACCGTATTACATATCACGTTCCTGTCTGTGTGGTTCTCTTCAGGTGCTGATTGAGACTCTGGTGGCTCTTGGGGCTCAGTGCCGTTGGACTGCTTGTAACATTTATTCAACGCAGAATGAAGTTGCTGCTGCCCTGGCAGAGAGAGGTAAGCAGCAGAGATGATCAAAACAATTCCCTTATTGAGCCAGCTGACATGTAATCTTATAAATATTAATCATTAACTTGGCAGTTTGATCCTTTTTATGTTTTACTTCCACTTGACTACAGCCAGGATGTTCGTAGCATGTATTACGTGCCCTCTATTGGCGCTTTTTGAGCAAAGCTTTGCTTTGTAATGGGAACGCCTCATGTCGTTTAAAACCAAGGTTACTGTTTGGAAATGGCAAACCCTTGAACATTGAGCCCTGCAGAGATGATTGGACCACATAAGTATCCCCATTTAGAGAGAGAGTGGCTCTGCTTGAGCCTTTTTATCCATGGTTGCTATGTAACTGTCTAAATGTTGTGCACTAAATGCCCAGAGAAAACATTCAGAGTTCTGGTAAAGTAGGAGAGTTCAGTGCTCTCTGGGGCTTCTGCACTTCTAGATGCTTGTCTTAGTAATTTATTGGTGTGCATCATCTTCTTCAAGATGGGCTGTTTATTAAACTCTGTGGAAAATAATCTGTCAACTGCTGTCGAGCAACTCTTTAACTGGTGTTTACATCGTGTCCTGAAACTGGAGCTTTTCATAAACTCATACAGTTTGAACTGGAAAAATTACACATTTTTATTGTCCATTTTGACATACAGTGGAAATATATCAACTAAAAAAATAAAAATTTCTGAAATTGTCTCGGCTTTCAAGATGAATCTTAATACTCATATTTTTAATGTAACCTATATTGACTGTCTTTGTAATTATTCAATGTATTTGCTGTTTTTAAATTTTTATTTTAGTAATTCAGTGATGATTAAATAATTTTTCTGGTTTTGTTCTTTTATAATTTCAGACTTAAACTTAAAACAGCTCTATAAATAAAGTAGAACATGAAATCTGACCAGTAGGTTTGTTGGTTCTGGGGGTTAAAGAGATCGATTTTTTTTTTTTTGTGGAAAATGCTTTATTTTATTTCCATCTCTGATGTCTTAGGTGTGGCTGTGTTTGCCTGGAAAGGAGAATCTGAGGATGACTTCTGGTGGTGTATTGACCGCTGTGTCAACACTGAGGGCTGGCAGCCCAACATGGTGTGTAGAAAAAAATTTTATCCCCTCATGAAGTCACAAGAGCTGCTTGTGTTTTGTTAATTACAGTTTGTGTATAAACAAATGGTGTACTTCTTTTGTACATCTACTTGGATGTGAAATATCGATGTGAAAACTTTTAATCTGTTAGATCCTTGATGATGGTGGAGACCTGACACACTGGGTGTATAAGAAATATCCAAACGTCTTCAAGAAGATCAGAGGCATTGTAGAGGAGAGTGTTACTGGGGTTCACAGGTGATTTTCTTTAAATTAGATGTGAATCCTATGAACATGTTTACATTTTTGCTTACCTGTTTCATGTGTTTTGTCTTTTTTTAAATTTTTTTTTATCCAGGTTGTACCAGCTTTCTAAAGCGGGGAAGCTGTGTGTTCCAGCCATGAACGTAAACGACTCTGTGACGAAGCAGAAGTTTGACAACCTGTACTGCTGCAGGGAGTCTATCTTAGATGGGTGAGTAAAATGGGGTTAGGTATTATTATTTTAAATGGTTTTTTTGTTGCACCAGTGGCCAAAGGGATTATATTATGCAAATTAATGATTTAATATTCTGTGTACATGAACAACCTGTTGCTGTATTAGTAATGGTTTAGTGCACTGTGTTTTTACATGGTCAGCATATCTTTGAACTGGATCAGTGCTGTCCCTGCTGGTTACTTATCTGCAAGTTAAACTACTGTCTCATAGGAGCATTTTCCTCTGTGCATGAATTAGGTGGTAAAGATCAACCTCATCAGATGCAACATAAATTGTTTTAAGTCAAAGTAGGAAATAAGCCAATAAAAAAACCTTGATTTGCTTGAGCTGTGATAAACAATACGGTTCAGATTGTGTCAAGTAATATTTCCGGTTACTCAGATTCTCAATCTTCCGGGTAGTTTTTCTTCTTTGCCACTAACTTTGCTAATTTTACGTCTCCAATCTGTTTAGTTTGAAGCGAACCACAGATGTCATGTTCGGAGGAAAGCAGGTGGTGGTTTGTGGGTACGGTGAGGTGAGAGACAATTTGCAATATCAAGAGACAATCTAATCTTAATAACGTAAAACAAATGTTGGGAAAACTGAGTTTCATAGTTTAAATACAGGAGTTTTTTAATATTTATGATTTAAAGTAACAGCTTTTTTTTTGCCTGATGTGGTTTTATTTCAGGTTGGAAAAGGTTGCTCTGCAGCTCTGAAGGCTTTGGGAGCCGTCGTCTACGTTACAGAGATTGATCCCATCTGTGGCCTGCAAGCCTGGTGAGGAGAAGATGAATTTAAATGATCGCCGTGCTAAATGTGCTGACATACTGTGGATACACAGGCCAGACTGCATCATTAATAACAAGCATTTAAAGACGCTAAAAATAACTAGAAAAATGCACTGGTGAGACCTTCACTTTACTTATTTGTCCACTTATTATCAGACCTGGTGGAGTTAATGCACAATGGTGGGTTTCCTCACACAAACATGGCTGTTGCGCATATATTTTCAAAGGATTGAGGAGTTTTGATGTATGTTTGGGATCGCTGACCTGTCGGAAAACTAAGTGCCGTCAATTACTTCTGTCCAAGCTGTCCCTTGGAAAATGTGATTATATTCCAGATCCAGGACGGCTCAAGAGGCTGAGTTATTGCAAGTTGCTGGAACATCACCATCTGATATTTTGTTCACTTTTTAACAAGCTCACTGTGGCATTTTTAAACTACAGGTGAAGAAAACGTATACAGTGCTGGAAACAACACTAAATAAGTTTAAAAGATTCAAACCCTTTAAACTTTTATTATGACCTCAACCTTATTGAAGCCCTAATGAAAATATGTGGCTAATTCTTAAAAGCCATGTCATTGCCCAGAAATCAGCCAATTTAAATTTACTTCATTGATGGCTAAAAATTGTGTGATTTATGCAATAAATTCAACCATAGGTACTCCATTATACTAGTTACTCTCAACATAGTTGGACAGTATTGTTCAGTTAATTCCCCCACAACATAACAGCACACCATGGAGCTCTGCTCTGCACTTAAATTGATTTGCATGTCAGTAGATATGTGATGCCGTCCTGATGTGGCCAACTAATCTCTGTTCTCACCAGCATGGATGGATTCAGGGTCGTCAAGCTGAATGAGGTCATTCGCCTGGTCGATATTATCATCACATGCACTGGTAATAACTTTAAAGTCATACTGACGTCCTCCTAAGGATGCACAGATACAGGATTATATTTCTGTGCTTTTTAATCTATTATAGAGGCTTTTCAGCTAATGGCTCTTTGCACTGTTGAACTTTGATTGGACGCTGTTATGTGGATGACGGATTAAAATGGCCTTTCTGCAGGGAACAAAAACGTGGTGACCAGGGACCAGCTGGATCGAATGAAAAATGGCTGCATTGTGTGCAACATGGGACACTCAAACACTGAGATCGATGTGGTAAACTATTGCTTTAAAACCTCTTTAAGTACCTCATAAAGATATTTGAAGGATTGTGTTAAAGATGAGAGAGTGACTCCTGTTTTTGATACTTTTAGGCGAGTCTACGGACTCCTGAGCTGACGTGGGAACGAGTCCGCTCTCAGGTGGATCATGTGATCTGGCCTGATGGCAAAAGGGTCATCCTGCTGGCTGAGGTAACAGGCTTCACCTTTGATTACTGGAGTTACATCTTGTAACTACAGATTTAATAAATAAAGTGAAATCTTAGGACTGTCGTATCCTTATCAATGACATGTTTGTCTTTGTGAGACATTTCTGTGGATGTTAACTTGACCAGATAAAATAGCTGGTATCCAAGCAGGATGTCAAGCAGAACATGTCTTGTCCTGTCCTTTTCCTTACTCTTATGGATAAAGTTGTACTCTGTGATATCGATGATATGCAAACTCCTTTCATCCTGCTAATAACATGGGTCATGTTTCACAGGGGCGCCTGTTGAACCTGAGCTGCTCCACCGTTCCCACCTTTGTCCTTTCCATCACAGCCACCACTCAGGTAAAATGGTTGTAAAAGCCAAACCGTATTTATGTTTCTGCTCTATTATAGCTGGAAGAGCACACAGGATTTGCAGCAGGCTTTTTCCATTTTCTGCAATTATGGCTCGTAATCTCTTGATCCGCCCTGGAAATGACGGAGTAACCGGGGAACTAAATTATGGCTATTTTTATAGCCTTGCCTCCCTTTTCCTGCCTCTTGCTTTTATTAAATTCAAGATTTGTAGTCTTTTTTTCATTTCTGATATGATCGTGTGAGTAATATTCGTTTGTGTTTCAGGCTTTGGCCCTCATAGAGTTGTATAATGCCCCAGAGGGACGTTACAAACAAGACGTGTACTTGCTCCCCAAAAAAATGGGTAAGGATTCAAAGTGTGACAGTATTGTTTTTATATTTTAGAAGCTTGCAAGAACTACTCAATAGCAGTAGAGGGAATTAATTGATTTTCTACATCTATCTACCAAACATACAAGTTTTGTTATTTTGGTTTTATTGATAGCTTAATGTAAAGATACTCAACGTAAAGCACATTTTCCAGGAACCAGGGCAGTGTTGTAGGTCATTATTAACCACCTGCATCTATATTGCATTTACCAGAGTAAAAACAGATTACCAGGGTGGAAATTTACCACAGAAGAAATCTGTAATAGGGAGGTTGTGCTTCATTTTCCAGGAACTTTTTAATTTGTTGGATGGAGTTTTGTTGACGTAAAGTTCTCTACATTTTGAATTTGCTTATTTTTCAACTTAATTCAAGCACATATTAATTTTCCACATTAATGTTAACTCTATTACAGCTAAAGTTATTAACAGGTTTACAGGCATCTGTGGATAGAGGGAGTAAAGCCTCTATTCAATGTAATATGTTAAGCTGTTAAGCTCTTTGAGTTTTGAGTTTAAGTGCCTTTGGGACATGTTCCCCAGGTTTTATTTACTAAATAAAACTTTGTTTGTTAAGGTTTTATAAGCTGAAGAGGTTGAATGTTACAACTTTTCTCAACTTTGAAACGATTAACTTCAGTTTTGCAGTGTAAATGCTGTCAAGGGATCACAAGTTTATAGCTGAAACATGAGGCTTGTTGCTGCTCTCTAGTTACTCAAAAAAAAACAGAACAGAGCAGTGTGTCCGTGAAATCCTTCTGACAAAATCATAGGTTATTTTGTTGTTACTGAATTTACAAGCAAGGAAGAGAGGTTTGTGGGCACATATTTGATGTTTGCAGAGAGGAAGCTTGTAGCACAAGGAGAAAATATCTGTGCAAGAAGCGGAAAATCTGAGAACGACAACAAAAATTTGAAGGAGAAGTGAGAATATTTGAAAGAGAGCAGAAGTTTACAGTGCACAATTATAAGTTTTGAAAGTAGAGATTAAATTCCTGCTTTCAAATTGAGAATGTAAAGTTTTTGCAGTAAAAGTCACCCGTAGAAATCATTTCAGACAATGAGTCTTTTGAATTGTCTCCCTAAATCATTTTGTTTTTTTCTTTTTCAGATGAGTATGTGGCCAGTTTGCATCTGGCCACTTTTGATGCCCACCTGACAGAACTCACTGATGAGCAGGCAAAGTATCTGGGTTTGAATAAAAATGGCCCCTTTAAGCCAAACTACTACAGGTACGTATGTACTCTGCACATTTAAAATAACTTAAAAAATTTCCTTAAAGCATTTCCTCTAATAACTATACATGTTAATACATTCAGAGTTCTGAAAATTATTCAGTAGCAAATGTTTCTTCTTGATGCTTACCCTAAAACTTCACATAAAAATCAGTAGAATATACATTTTTATCCTTGAATTGTATTTAATATGCGTGTTAAAATGTAAATCAATATTAATATTTTATAGGACCTCCTGAAACTTTAAGAAAAATGTTTTTTTGTGTGCCTACAGGTATTAGGCTGCCACCACCACGGTCTGGACCAGCCCTACGTGGATCTGTATATTTCTGATATTACCCGTTCTCAAGAAAGATAGACTTATCTATCTTGTATTTTATATTTTTCATGGGAGGTACAAGTTGTATTTAGACGCATCTGATGTGCTGCTTCCTGTAAACGATGCACGTGGCACTTAGCTGGCTATAAAAGGTTAATGTAATAATTACAGCACTAGGATATCTGATAGATGTACTGAATGTGTTTCCTTAGCTGCTGATTCCTGTCTGGGAGCTACTTAGAGCTTTTCCAGTAAAATGTGCCAAATAACAGAGGGCTAGTGTTGTGAAAGATAAAGAAGTAAAAACGAGATAAACCTGTTTAGAGAGCCAATTTATTATTATTATTATTATTATTATTATTATTATTATTTTATTATTATTATATATGTATATGATTACTGTATGAGATTGAATTCTGAAAATATGCATGCTCTGAATGCACCGATTAATAGATCCTTGAGCTTATTGAACCTTAAACACTTAGCTGGGTGTTTGATCTTTTTTCAGTCACTTTTGTGCATAAAAACTGTGTGAAAACTTTCTGGGATGTGCGCTATCATTAAAATGATGAGTGAGGAATATTTTTTGCTCAAAGTGGACCAAATGTGAGTTAAAGTCCTGTTGCTGGACAAAATAAGCTTTATTTGGGTATATTTAGTGTGGTTTGTTTGTAGATGAGCCATAGCAAGTTAAAAATAAAACTTTGTTTCTAATATTTCTACCACCTAGTGGCCAAATATAGCTCAGTGCTGCTGTAATGTTTTTTCCTTTCACATTTATTCACAAGAGACATTCCATGAGAGGGAGAAGAAGTGCCCTGATCTTTAGTAATATCATAGTTCCTGTCTACCACAATGAATAGTTAAGATTATAATGTTTGTTTCGGTTATGTTTTCATCAGCTGAGGGCATTTGCTTAATCTGTAAATATTTTTCTTACAAGATCTATTTCATCTGATTTTCAGCATCATGTTTAATCACAATATTTTTTAAAAATGCCCTTTTTATAATGGTACTAAATAAATATTTTAGGAGTTTTAATACCGTGTTAGATTCAACTGACCTGATAAAAGTATGTTTAGTGATGTATATTCCACTTTAATTCTGCAGCAGATAGAGCAGTCTTTAAAAAGTGATATTTTTCTTTAGACCTGTTTCAGTACGGGTTTTATTTTATGCATCAGATGGTTTTGATCCATTTTTTGTACAGGAAGAAATTTTTTTTAAAATGCTTTGCAAAAAACAAAACAAAAAAAAAACTTCTTTACAGCCAGTTGTAACCAAATCTTGCTTTGTGTCATCTTACAAAATCCTCATAACATTTGCCTCTTTCTAACAATAAGCCATAACTTGTTAATTTTATTATTTTTGGTAAAGCTGCAGAGTTTGGTGGTTGTTGTCCTGTCAAAACTCGTTAACATATTTCAGTTGCCTGCATCATATACTGCTGTACTTTGTGATGACTATACAACTGTCAATTTATGTTTAGTATACTTTTAAAGTCGTAGTAAACGCGTACACTGCGGTTTCACCCTTTAGAAATCTTCTTCTGCAATAAGATATAATTACTGTTAGTGTTTTCAGCTGATGTAATCTTTTAATCAGCCGATTTGAGTCCGTTTGACCCATTGTCTATTGAGGAATAACAGAGCTGCTGTGAAGTGCTTACTTGTTTGCACTGACAGCTTTAATGGTATTAGATTCAGGGACACTCAAAGGTATTGGAGAAAGTGAGTGCTGTAACCATGGTGACTATTGGTTGACAGTGCCTTGTGACTCATTTAATTATTTGTATTTAAAACAGAGTATTGTTTCCTCCAGAGTATGACAGCTATGCACCAAAACCCTCATCATTTTGTCAGTATAAGGGAATTAAAATTTTCTGCATTAGCATCCCAGGGTAACTGTTTGATCTTTCTCATAAATGTGAATAATTTTACACACTGTTAACATGTTCAATGTTTTGAAATTGTAGATTTTCCCATATTATTTATTGTGAGAGCAGATAGTTTTATTCTCATTGAAGCACCTGAAAAGGTATCTGTAATCATTTTATCTGCTTTGACTGATTATAACCACATTAACAGTGTTTTATAATAGACACAAATGAATGTGAATCCCAGCTACCGTCATGTCGAGTCCCACTGTGATTAAAAGGAAAATGTTACATTTGAATTAAAGATCCCTAAATCATGTAATGTCCTGCATTTAACACAAACTGTAGTTTAGTTTGAATGATTTAATAAATCTGCATTCTGTTCAGCATCTGTCCTCAATAAATGGTTCATCTTGAAAATTGCCTTACTTCTATTATTCCCCCCCACACAGTCTGTATAGACATTTCTACAAGTGTCAAAGTGACCCTCATGTCACTTTTATTAGTCGTAACTACAAAACTGTATGCAGTATTGGTGTAAAATTACTTGGTAAAAAATTATTTGTAATTTATTTTGAAGTATTTCAACATTCATTTTGAGAAAAGAATGTTGAAATACATCTTTTTGAGAAATCATGCGATGCTGACGTCAGAAGCAAACTCCCGAAGATCCCCTTCCATCTCGCGAGAGTTTACTTCACTTGCAAATGAATTATGGAGGTCGGTGGGAATGGTGGTGGGCTTCCTGTAAACAATAAACAGAGAGCGATGCTACCAAATAAAGGAGGCAGAGGCGAATTCCCTCGAACTCCAAGGAAAGACTCAGAGGTACGAAGAGAGAAAAATGTTCATTGTCATCATGGTTTTTCAGAGATAAACAAACTTAGGCCTTTAGATGTGTTGCTGCTTTAGTAACGACAGCTAACTCGATCTAGTTGGACTATCTGGTCATTTTAATATCGGAATCGAAAAACTTTAAGTAATTTAAATAGGCGACAGCTGTGTGTGTCGTTTCAGTCATCGGCTTTTAAGTAATTGATACCGTTTATTATCGGTGTTTCTGATGTTAAATGCTAACTAGCTGGTGTTAGCTAGCTGCTATTGGAGGCCCTAACTGCCATGAATCAGGCTAGCTTCACGTTTTACGTCCTTTTCTACTGTGGCACCTAATATAGCAATCTAGTTTCATATCTGTAAGGAGTACAGGAAACATCGTGGGTAACCTTTATGTGAAATAGTAAAATATAACGGGATTATTGTTACATCTATCAGAAACTACTTCCCTAGTTAGTAAGGTCTGCAGAAGTATGGTAATTTCATTCAGGTGTGTGGCAAAAGGGAAACATCTAAACCAGTGTTTGCCCACCTTTGTCCATGAGGCACACTGAATTGGATGTTTTAGATGTTTCCTCTGCTTTAACACATCTGATTCAGATGAGGGCTGTTCAGCAAAAGCCTGTTAATCAGCCATAAAATGAAATCAGGTGTTATGAAGCAGGGAAACAACCTGAAACATGAAGGAAATGAACCATTAATACTAGAGTTTTCCTACCTCTGGTCCTCAAAACCCACTGCACTGCTTGGTTTAGGTTGTTTCCCTTCTGCCACACAGCTGAATTTAAATGAATATTAACACTTAATGCACTTGATGAGATGCTGAGAAGGGAATGCAATCATGTTAATAAGGTGCACTGGACCAGAAGAACTATTTAAAACGCGAAGAGACCGTCTGTGAGGACCAAGGTTGATGGTATGGAGTGAGAGTTCTTGTTCTGATCCATCCCCTGAGTGGTGGTGTTGAAAATGATAGATGTTGGATTTAGTGAACACACGAGTAAGATGATTTCAATGTCACAGCTGATAACTTCTTGATGTCAGTGCAGTTCTCCAGCTGCAGTATAGCAGACAGAAGAGCCCTGCCAATGATGGCGAGAGGAGCTGAAAGATTCACTGGAGCGTCCCTATCCTCTACCCAGGATCTCTTTCAGATCCGCTGCAGGAACCGGCCTCTGAACATTGTCACACTCTTTCCACAAATACTCTGAACTGTTATCATCGGCTTTGTCAAAAGCAGAACCAGCAATCTGCTGCAAAGCTTTCTGCCTCATGCTGAGCTGCTGTTAAGATCATAAACTTTATATTATCACACGTACTTTAGATATATTTTTTTAATCTTGGTGTTTTGTCTCTTAAATTTCTTAAACATCCTTTGAAGGTCTTTGAAAAACACTCTTGTGTGCTGTCTGGTACACTATATAAAAAAAAGGATAACAAACTGATTTCTCTTTGGAAGCCATCCATCAGATTGATGCAAGCTGCTATGTGTTGTTCACAGGGCTTGTCTGAGTCTCCAGATCTTGAGTTTGAGTATTCTGACACAGATAAGTGGGCTGCAGAGCTGTCAGGTGTGTTTGCTGTGTTTTTATTGTCTTTTTATTTTAATGCATATCTTAAATTGAAGCACTCTGGTCACTTTGTTTTGTGTAATAGTGTGCAATGCTAATAAAGATAGATTGATTGATATTCCATAAATCTCAATGCCTATTTTTTCAGCACTGAAAACTTAATTTTACATATATTTATAGCTTTTTAATTATAATTATTTGCAAATGTTTCAGAGCTCTACAGTTACACTGAAGGACCTGAGTTTGCCCTTAACAGGAAGTGCTTTGAGGAGGAATTCAGAGCTCATGGTGCGTATAGTTATTCCCCAAACTACCATTTATAAATTGAAGGTATTTCCATAGTGTTACATTCTCTGTTTGTCTGGACCTCAGTCTCGGATAAGAAGTGGACGGACCTCGATGCCGCCCAGCACAGAGCGCACGCCATGCGTCTGCTGGACGGCCTGGAGGTCATTGGTCGTGAGAAGAGGCTAAAGGTTGCCAGAGCCATCCTCTACATGGCTCAGGGTCAGTGCAAGTTGTTTACATCGTTTGGAATAAAAATATACTCGGGCTGCAACTAGCTATTGTTGGAATTATCAATTATTATGATGATTAATCAATCAGATAAATTCTGTAGGTTTTTTTTATTTACGATCTTAAGCTTGTTTTATACAAAATTAGAGATGAAAAAATGCAAATAATTCAAGAAGAAAAAAAAACATTTTATTGCCTAAAATACAACAACGTTCCTTTAGTGAATGGTTGATTATTTGTAGCGAAGAATTCATCTGCAGCTAAGAAAATACTTCTCCAGTCATGTGAAAAGCTCACACCTTCCTGCTTAACTTAGCATTAATACAGAGTAGGACTGGCTCATTTTGAATCCATGCACTCTACTTACAAATTAATAGATTAATAATTAGTTGACAATAATTTTCATGACTGGTTAATCACGATTAATCGAATTAATTCAGCCAAAGAACATCTGTATTTTTTTCTCTGCTTCACGTTGGTGTATTTGTTTTTCAGGAGCCTTTGCAGACTGCAGCTGTGAGGCTGAGGTTCAGTACTGGATGAGATACAACATATTTCTGCTGCTTGACGTCGGAACCTTCTCTGCTCTGGTGGAACTTCTCAACATGGAGATCGAGTACGAGCAACGACTGTTTACCTAACCTGACCTCCGATAAGCCGAATAATAGCTGAAAATAGAGCCCCGAAAGGAAAAAAGTCGGCGTTTCACGAGGCTTTTAGTAGACATATGTTCCGCTGAATAACAGCAATCTGCTTCCTGTTGTTCAGTAACAGCGCTGCCTGCAGCAGTGCGGTGAGAAAGCCGGCCATCTCCCTCGCCGACAGCACCGACCTCAGAGTTCTGCTCAACATCATGTACCTGATGGTGGAGACGATCCAGCAGGACGACCCAGCTGACAAGCCTGAATGGAAAATCATGAAGGAAACCTTCAGAGCTGAGCTGGGTAAACATCTTCAGAAGAGCTGCCGTCATTTTAAGGTTTGAAAAAGTCCCATGGAAGCTAATTGCAACTTGGTGATAAAATCCAGGTTCGCCTCTGTTCAACAACGAGCCGATCTCTGTCATGCTCTTTGGAATGGTCACCAAGTTCTGCAGCGGCCATGCCCCACACTTTCCCATGAAGAAGGTGCTGCTGCTGCTGTGGAAGAGCATACTGGTGAGAGAGGAAACCCATCCAGGCTGCTTCTGGTACGAAGAGACGCGTCGTGCTGGAAAATCCTTCTTTCTCATCTCGTTTCAGTTCACGCTGGGAGGGTTTGAGCAGCTTCAGAGCATAAAGGTCTGCAAACGCGAGGAGCTGGGTCTCCCTCCGCTCCCAGAGGACAGCATCCGAGTCATTCGCAGCATGAGGGCGGCGTCTCCTCCGGCATCTGCGTCCGATCTCATCGAGCAGCAGCAGAAACGAGCTCGCCGAGAGCACAAGGTAGACACCGCCGCAGCTCCGAGAGCGGACTTTAAGCTGAACCATCTGGACCGGAGGTTTCCAAACCGCTTGTTCAAAAGGTCCACATCTGATTTCTAGATGAGATCAAAGGTCTGGAGCAGTTAGTAATGAACAAGTACATTTTTTTTCTTCAATTTGTTTACGATTACCAAGCAAAAAGAGTGACGCTGTAGGGATAAACTTAAAAACTTTAAAATGTTACAATACGTTTTAACTTAATTACTTGTCATTCCTCTACAAACACAAGAACTTTCTTCGCCTAAACATGTGAGTCCTTATGTTTTTTTCCTCAGGCGCTGATCAAGCAGGACAACCTGGATGCCTTCAATGAGAAGGATCCCTACAAGGCTGACGACTCTCGTGAAGACGAAGATGACAACGATGACAACGATAACTCTCTGGAGCCAGAGACGTTCCCTCTGGAACGCGACGAGGTGATGCCTCCACCCATTCCTCATCCTCCGTCAGAGAGGGTGTCCTTCCCTAAAGGGCTACCATGGGCTCCCAAAGTCAGGTGCAGCACAGACATTTTAATTCATGTCACTTACACGGTTTTACCCCCCAGGTTTACAGCTTCTGTGCTGAGTGTGCTTTTCACGGGACATTTCTGATGCTATTAATGTTTTTTATCCAACAGGGAAAAAGATATCGAAAACTTTTTGGAGTCCAGTAGAAGTAAATTCATCGGTTACACACTGGGAAGGTGAGTTTGCTTATGTGTGTGTAAAAATAAAGTTTCCAAGATGCAGACGTGTAAGGCTGAAGTGATTGATTATTGAAATAGTTGTCAACTAATTTATGAATTGATTAATTAACTGGAGTATACAGACTCACTCAGAGCAGTAATCGATCCCAAACTGTTCAAAAACTAAACACATTTTGCATTTAAGGTGAATAAAACCTTCATTTTCTGTAAATACGTTCTACTCAGAACTACTTACGTGACGTAGTTTTAGCTTCACCTAGTTTAAATTCTGTAAAATAAAATCTATTAAGCACATTTTGTTATCCAGTTATTAATTCTTGTACAAAATGGTATTTTACTAGTATTGTATTATAATCGTATTTTAGGCAATAAAATGTTTATTTTCTAAGAAAAAAATGAATTTAACTATTTATTTATTTGCATCTTTTAATGTATTTCTAATATTGTATAAAAAAGGATTGCTTAAATGAAAAATCTGCAGAATTTGTCCAGTTAATCAAATAATTGATTACTAATTTAATGTCTTAGTTGCAGCCCTCCAGACATAATAAAGCTGTATTTTTGCTCCGCAGTGATACGGATACAGTGGTTGGTTTACCCCGGCCGATTCACGAGAGCATCAAGACGCTGAAGCAGGTGCTGCAGCGTGATGTGTGGAAGATCAGCATGTATGTGGCTGGGGTTGATTGTTTTTAATATTTTCCTCCCATTTTTACAGCATAAGTATATTTCCGTAGCAGAGGTGCAGATGGCAAAGGAGGAGGAATACCAGAAAACTCCGCTGTCTGTGGTGAGTGGGAGTGACATCTGTAATATATTCTGTTGTACAGTTAATTTCAACATGTCTTCTTCATTTCCTGTGTTCAGGGTGAAGAGGAGGTGGAGATGTGTGCCACCGAGCTGCTTTATCAGGGGATTCTTCCCAGTTTGCCTCAGTACATGGTGAGTGCTTGCTGGTTCAGTTTTACTTCATGTTTAAAGGTAACCTAAATGAGAATTAAACGTCCTTACAAAGGAAAAACAATTAAATTTATTAGCCTTTTAAATAGCTGATAAGAGTCCCTTTAAACAGTCAATTGTATTTATATTCTTTTTGATTCCTTTTTGCATCTTTTTATTTCTTCTGGGTCCATTTTTAACAAAAGGAAACTGCTAATGCTCTCCTTCCCATCAGCAACAACTTCCACACCGAACAGTGTTGTTGTTTTGTGTCGTCTTGTGTAGCATGAGTGTGGCGCTTCCACTGATCTGAAGATAACACAAAATTTTAAGTTTCTGGCTGTTCATTCACTTGTCAGACCTGATCAAGATGAAAGTCTTAAAACTTTTGACCAATAGCTGTTTTTGTTTTTCAGTGCGTTTGTTCCAAACCCGACTCAAGCTGGTATCAAATATTTAGCATAGATTAATAATATCCTTTATTGTCCCACAATGTGGAAATTTCTGTTCAACAGCAGCAAAGTGACAGGCATTCAAAACAAGTAGATAAGTCATAAAGTAGAATAAAGAATAAAAAATGTAAACATAAATACCATGGCGTTATTCAAAATAATGTCCTTCAGTTCAAGAAATATGCAACCGAGTTGGTTAATTTAAAAATTTACAAATCTGCATGTATGTTTGAGCATTGTGCTACGTTACCGTTGGATGTGCAGAAAAGATGTTTTGTTTGTCTAATAATTTAAAGTTGTTAGTAAAGGTTTATGGGTTAAACGCCAAAGAAAAATTGGGTCGTATATGGTGTTTGTGGCCACCAGGGGGTGCTGTGAACTCTGTATTCCCTTGATATTCTAATATTTTTAAAATGATGGCAGCACAGTATTTGCAGCACAAACTATTGACTTTGTATTGTTTTGATTTGAAGAATATGAAGGAGCTAACTTCACTGGGGTCATTTGCGAACATTACATTTAGCTTAAACTTGGAAATGTAAATGTTTTGTTCGGTCACATTTCACCTCCTTGCCTCTCTGATCGTCAGATTGCGCTGCTGAAGATTTTGCTCGCTGCCGCTCCGACGTCTAAAGCCAAAACAGACTCCATTAACATCCTGGCAGATGTGCTGCCGGAGGAGATGCCGTAAGTGGACTGAGCACTGACATAACCCGACTTTACTGACAAAATGAGCAGACATCAGCGGGTTTCTGCAGACATATGGGCACCTAAATTAGTCTCTGACATGATCTGATGACGAGCATCTGTGGAGGCAGACAGAGTGTGGTTGAAAGCAAAGTTAAAGTTAATGTTATAGCTTGAGAGGGGTTCAGCCAAACTGGAGTTTTTCTGCTTGCTGCAGGACGACGGTTCTGCAGAGCATGAAACTGGGCGTTGATGTGAATCGCCACAAAGAAATCATTGTGAAAGCCATCTCTGCCATCCTGCTGCTGCTTCTGAAACACTTCAAACTCAACCACGTCTACCAGGTGGGAACACCTCCGATTTGGTTTCTGGTATCTGAAATTGTGTTTTTGATGTGAGGAACACTCTTTTCATTTTAACAAAAGGATGTGTTTTTTGTTTTTTTTTTCTTTTTAAAATAGTTTGAGTACATGGCTCAGCATTTGGTGTTTGCCAACTGCATCCCGCTCATCCTGAAGTTTTTCAACCAGAACATCATGTCTTACATCACAGCTAAAAACAGGTACTTTTATCTGTCCTTTTTAGATATTAAGCACCAGTCCTGTTGACTGGAAGCTTCTCAGACCAATAAACTATTTCCTTTAATAATTTTTTCTCATCAGCATTTCAGTGCTCGACTTTCCGTACTGCGTGGTCCATGAGCTCCCGGAGTTAACCGCAGAGAGTTTGGTGAGTTTTCTCACTTAAGTCGTAGCTTTAGCAGCTAATTTCAGCACGATGTTGGCATTTAGTTTCACCTTGAACAATTGCCGTCTCAGGAAGCGGGAGACAACACTCAGTTTTGCTGGAGGAACCTATTCTCTTGTATTAACCTGCTCCGAATCCTGAACAAATTAACCAAATGGAAACACTCCAGAACAATGGTGAGTCGGCGTCACACTGAACTCAACCAGATGTGACCCTGAACACACGTCCTTACAATCTCGGCCGTTCTCCTCCAGATGTTAGTGGTGTTTAAGTCGGCTCCCATCCTGAAGAGGGCGCTGAAGGTCAAGCAGGCCATGATGCAGCTTTATGTCCTCAAACTGCTCAAAGTGCAGACCAAATACTTGGGGCGACAGTGGAGGAAGAGCAACATGAAGACCATGTCTGCCATCTACCAGAAGGTGCGGCATCGCCTCAATGACGACTGGGCTTATGGAAACGGTGAGTGTTCATCTGATTTTAACCAAATTTTGATTTTGTTTAGTTTTACTCAAATGTATTAATATATTAATATGCCAGGTTGGCTTGTTTCTATAGATGTTTCTTTTCTTTTTCTCATAACACTAATTCTAAATTTTCCAGCTGCTCAGTTAGGGATAAAAATAATTCAGTTAGTCAATACATTCCTGAAAGTAACATTATTCTCTTACTTTTACGTGTTTTTATAGTTCCTGGCAAATTACCACGTATTCCTCAAAATGTCAGAAAATGGTTAGATTTCAGAATAAACACAATAATAGTTTACATTAAAAGTATTTAATGGTTTCTGTGCCAATACTTTTCCCCTCTTTTTGCTGGCGGATAAATTACTCCAGAAGTTATTGCGATAAACGGTAATATTGTTGTTTTGAGACCATTTTCAAGTAATATTATGGTAATGGCATCATAATGCAAGGACACATTCTCAAAGTTCAATAAACTTTAAATTCTAATGAACATTTAACACTGGAACTGGAATACGTTTTAAATATCCAGAATAATTAAACAAAACAACAGCAAAAAAAAAACCCAAAATGTATTATAAAACCAAAATTGTTCGTCAAAAAAAGGTCTAATTAGCACCAGAATGACGACTTGTGAGAAAAATGCTAAATGACGCAAATGGAAATTATTGAGCTCATTGTAATTTATCATGCGATTAACTGATTTGTTGCTTATCGCGACAGGCCCCAGCCGAGTATAAATCAGACTAACCCTGATCTGTTTGCGGTGTCAGATCTGGACGCCCGTCCCTGGGACTTCCAGGCCGAGGAGTGCGCCCTGCGGGCGAGCATCGAGCGTTTCAACAGCCGCCGCTACGACAAGAGCCACAGTAACCCAGACTTCCTTCCTGTGGACAACTGCCTGCAGAGCGTCCTGGGGCAGCGAGTCGACCTGCCCGAGGACTTCCAGATGAACTACGACCTCTGGCTGGAGCGCGAGGTCTTCTCCAAGCCCATTTCCTGGGAGGAACTGCTGCAGTGAGGCTCAGCGCTGCGGAGCATCTTTGTGTTTTTAAGTAAACGGTTCCGGTCAGGAGTTCAGATAAACCTCAGACGGTTTTCTCCCTGATCAAACAAACTCTTAGCGCAGCATTATGTTACATTTTCTGGTGGTTGGATTTCCTTCAGAAGTTGGGACCTGCGTGGCTTTGTAGGTCGCTTAAGCCTCCGACCAAGTGCTTTCTGACGTAAGCTTCTGCCTTTTAGACGTTTAGTATTAACGTGAATCAACGTAAAAGGGAAACAAATAAGATCTTTTTGTATTAAGGTTCCTCAGCTTTTTCCCCCCACTGCTCCCATTTTATAAATGAATGACTGATAATGGTTCAAACCCTCATTCTTCCACTTGCAGGTATTTCTCTGTGTGCCTGTTCCTACTTAACGAGGTCAGTAAATCAACTGGAAGCACTACATGACAATTTATTTTAATTCATGTAATTCAGAGTAACTGTTCTGTATTAATGCTACAGTTCAATTCAGTCTTTGAATAATCAGGCACTGATTTGAATAATCAGGCACTGATTATTCAAAGTATAAATTCATGCATTCTGTCGTCTGAAGGCTGTCTAATTTTTTAAGATTGTTTTTCGTTTGAGCTCTGACTTCCTGCCTCAGCTCTGGGACCATCGATCGCCATGGAAACCTGACTGACCAACAGACTGAAGCAGCTTTAAACTTTTATCCTGAACTCATTTGTTACTGTCTGTGAATAAAAAAAACATTCATGGCTTCTGATTTCACTCATTGAACAGATTATTTGAACTAAAACGGAAAAATACATGTTAAACTTAAATCAACAATTCTTAATTTTTTTTAGTCATATTTGGTTGTAAGGGTGGTGAAGAAAATATAAATGCATGTAAATTGTGTAACCTATTTATCATGACTGTCTTTGTTTTACATGGACTTAAATAATGTAATAAAATTATACCGTCGCTTCATTTTCTTCCGTTTACTTTCTGACTGTGACCTAGAGGAGTGGAGAATGCAGCCTCTTTTAGTACTGCATATTTGATGTAAACTGATTAATTGTTCAGCAGCATTGGCTCTAGCAGCTGTTCAGACAGAAATACTCTTAACAAAAAAGAAACTGTAATTTAAAAGATTCACATTAAAGGGTAGCCATACCCTTTAATGTGTGTGATCCCCACAGAACATTTAATGTTCTGTGGGGATCCTGTATGTGTAAATGGTGTGTTCCTCTTTTTTTGTGTTGGGTGGGTTTATGTTGGTGTTTAGGCAGGAAGTGGTCCAGATCTGGCAACCCTGAAGCTGCAGAGCAGTGTTTCTCAAAAGTTTTTTGGACCACTTACCCCATTTAACAAACAAGACCACCTCACTTGAAATTTAACACAGCTTAATATATACAACCTGAAATTAAAATATCAGTCTCTTAACGCACTTATTGTCATGCACAATTCTACTCAGGGCATTTTGAGTTGTTTGCATAGTGTGAAAAGTGGTTTCTAAGCTTTCCAATTATGTGAAACATATATTTGATTTTACTTTGAGCTAAAAAAAAAGAAGTTCTTTACTACTAAGTGTTATGTGCATGTATAACACTTAGGCCTATTTGTATTTTAGAAGCACAATTAAAGAAAAATCGACTTGATTTGCTTTGGCAGAAACATAAATCTTCTGCACCATAGAGCCGTTCAATTATCGAATCGCTCATGAACAACGACTATGAGACTGTTTTAGCTCCATACACATCAATACTGTCATCAGTGACATATAACTTGGCTGTACTTGTTTTGTTTTCTTAATACCGGTATCTTCAACTTTTCTTTTGAGGGGCCCGGTTTTAAGACACGTATCCATTATTATTTTTTAGCCAAAATCATTGGTAAGCCAGCTGTGGCGTCGCACCTTGAGCTGACGTCACGGCAAATGAACGGTCTTGTACATGCAGTACCTTGCCGATCTCCATGGGGCACCCGGGAGCACAGTTTTAGAAAGACTGCTGTAGAGTAAACAAAACCAACTGATTCTGCATCATTAAGAAATGCTCCTAAACTAACCTTTGCACAAGCATATAACAACCGGATCCAGACATGATTTTACTTTGAGCTAACTGTTTTTTTTAGTTTGTAAAGGGAACTGGAGAAGCTTCAATAGTTTTCTTTCTCTAGCTGCGCTGTATCTCTGTTAAACATCTATGTTTCCTGTCACCAGGAGCAAAATTATCTACCCACTAACAAAATATAAATGTTTTGTGTCTCACTCAGGTGTTATCTTTGCATTCAGTTTGGGTCAAACGGACAAGGCCAGAGGAATTTATTATACTGCGACAAACCGAGCTAAGCTTAAACTTTAACAAAAAGTTGTTAAGTCAGTCACTAATTTGAGTAAGAGTCAGGCAGGAGGCATGTAGAGATACCAAAAGGCATTAAGATCCTACATTTACAACAACAGAGTTTCTTTAGTCAGAGGCTTCTTTAGGGCCAATGTAATACTGACCGCTAAAGGAAGGGTCTGTCCTTAGCAAAAACAAGGCTTCAGCATCTACAACAACTCTGAAGAAAAGTATGAGGTACAACACCAAGTAGATTCATTACTGTACTTAAGTAATTTTTTCATAGATCTACTTTATTTAAGTAGATTGAATTGTGGGTACTTTCAACTTTTACTCCACTACATTCCAATAACTTGCTACATTTACGTCACATTGTGTTTTTTCGATTTATCAGTTTGAAAGTAATCAATGAGTTCTGAATTAACTGGTTCAAAAAGTGACTCTCGGCTCCAAGTTATAGAAACGGAGTCAGGAAATTAAAATATTGTTCATTACTATCCGACTACAGAGATGAATATTTTTTAAGTGTGGAGTTGATGACAAACTTGAAGTGAAATGCTAGGTGTGTCTAATGCCCCTTTTGGTTTTGCTTTATATTAAATAAAAATGCTCACAATCATTCTCTGTCTTATTTAGCGTAATGGGACTTACCTCTGCTTTCATTTAATAAAATTCTGATGCACAGAATCAAAAGTCCAAGCATAAACATTGTCATGGAGGGTAAACACAACAAAAACATTTATTTTCTGTAGCATTGTTCGAAATGGCACAACACTATTGATGTATTAAAGAAAATATACATACATAGGCACTCGTTGCAAGAGGGAATACATTCGACAAGTACTTTCACTTTCAATACTTTATTTTCAAAAGCAATAACTGACTTTTGCTCAACTAACAATGTTTATGTGGTACTTTCACTAGGCTACATTTTTGTCTGTTTATTTGTATTTTACAAAGTAAAGTATTGAGTACTTTACTTTCACCACTGCTGTCTTCAGAAGTCCTAAGTAGCAGGTCTCAGAGGTTTGTTTGGAGAAGGTTAATGACATTCAAATGTTTCAGTCACACCCTCTTCCACTTTGAAACAGACCAATCATAAACAACGCACCTCTGAGTCATTTTTGCAGAAACGAAACGATGCTTGTGTAACAAAGCGCGCCTTTCCTTCCTCATCGCAAACATGGCAGAGCCTCACATTCCCGTCAGCATAAATCACCTCTCTTGTCGAATCTGCACAAAGCTTCTCAGGAATCCCACCACCATCCCCTGTGGACACAACTTCTGCCGGGAGTGCATCGAGTGGTATTGGGACGGGGAGCAGAGGGACGTCAGCTGCCCTGAATGTGGACAGAGGTTTCCCTCCAGACCCTGTTTGATCAGGAACACGACTCTGGCTGAGATGGTAAGAGACACGGAGAGGGGTCTGAACAGGAAGAGGAAAGAAGAGGAGTCAGCTGAGGCCCAGCTGAAGAGAAGCCGGAGCAGCGCCACAGAGAACACTCTGTGTTGGCTCCACAACAAACCTCTGGATGTTTACTGCTACACAGACAGGAAGATCATATGTGCTGACTGCGCTGCAATCAGGCACAGGGGGCACACGTTTGGGCTGGTGATGGAAGAGCGGAAAAGAAAACAGGTACAGGAAAACCAAGGAGTCACTGTATGACTGCTCAGCTGTTCATTTTAAACCATAGAAACTCTCTGGTGCAAATTTTTACAACCGCAGGCACCAGGTATGGTAAGCAGTCAGGAATTTAGTTCTGTTGTAGACTAAATTAAAGAAGCAAATTATATGTTTGATTACTCAACTTGTTACTAACAGAATTAACTCTTACGGTTACCTAGTGTGCAGAGTAAGTCGTTACCTTTATTCAATTACATTTACTCGAGTAACTGTTTTTCTTTTTAATTATATTCAGAAGGAGTTTACTTCACTGCACTTTTTACTTTTACTTGAGTAATATAATGAAGTAAGGCTACTATTATTTGAGTAAAATTTCTGTATACTGTAACCTGTGAGTAACTTTACTGAATGAACAGACATGTTATAACCCAAATGTCACCAGATACACACACAAAGACCTTTAGTTCTTGTTGAAGTGAGACTTCTTGTTTGCACAATTGTTATTATTCTAACATAATTTTTTATCTGCTTTATCTTAAAAAAAGATATATATATATATATATATATAAATTTCATATTTCATATTTCATATATATTTCATGAGGAATATGAGAAGATCAACTGTGGCTGTGCTTAAACCTGTGGATTGAAAGTTTTTAGATGTGGGGTTACAAAATGAAACCCACATTTCATTATGTAAGTGAAATATGGGTTTGTGGCAGTGTTTGCATGAAATTTGCATGTTAAGCACAGCTAAAGGGAGCACTCACTACTATTTTACAGTAATTTCTGTGACTGGTGTAATTTAAGGATGAGGTGAGGATCTTGCAAACCAAACTGATGGCGACGCTGCAGGAGCAGGAGAAACAGCAGCAAAACATGAAGAAGAAATTTAACCAGATTGAGGTGAGGAAATCCTATCGGATCATTGGTACAACTGTTAACAGGTTCTGAGCTTGGAAGGATTTTGATCTGTGTTTAAAACAGGAGGAGGCCAAGAAAACAAAGGATGACTGTGAAACAGTCATAGTTGAAGTCATTGATTGCCTTCAGAGACATTACCTGTCTGTGAGGAAGCTGGTTGAGGATCAGGCGGAGGCAGCAGCAGCTCAGATCAACGTTGCACTTCAGGATCTTGAGACGAAGATAGAGGAGAAGAAGAAGATGTATGATGAGCTCAATCTCCTGGCACAGAGTGACAACAGTGCCTTTTTTCTGCAGGTATGACACTGACATCAGTTCACCTGTATCATGGTTCTGCATCACCTCTGCAATAAATGTTTTTCTTCTCCCAGGAATGGCCCACTATGCAGAGTCACTGTGAAAAAGTCCTTCTGCTTTCCTGCAATGAGAGCTCAGAGGACCAACTTTCACAATTTGAAGTTACAAAGAGAGCTATAGAGCAGATCGGGAGGAAGCTGGAGGACTTCTGTCACCAACAATTTGCTTCAAGCTCTCAATTTTGTATGTGTAACAGCCAACGTGGAAGTATTTTATCAGTTTCTTAAAATCCACACTTTGCACATTGTCGCACTTCCATTCGAGTCTCAACTGCTTCTAAAAACAGCCCAAGTGCTTATAAAAACATCTAGCCGTTCTTTGGTAATTAGTTAATGTTTAGTGTCTGGAAAATAAGCCGTTTCAAATACTTCCCGATTATTAAGACACATTCAACGGCCACTGCGCCGTTACCTAGCAACCACAGGCCCTCCCCTAGCAACTCAAGCAGAGCCCAGCCCTTCACCTAGCAACCCAACTCTGCTGGTTTACCGCTCGCTGTATGCGCTAATAGCTATTGAAAGAGACAAGTGTTTTGTTGTTGACTTACTATTTAGAAACCCTTTGCCACATTCTTGTTGGTTTTACAGGAGGCACTTCTTCTGCTTCCGCTAATTTCCTATTTGTTGGCAGCCATTTTTATGTGCGAGTGTAAACATGACTTTGGGGGCGTGGCCAGTAGCAGCTTATTTTGATTTAAAGTGATAGGAGGCCTTAAAATAGTTCATTCTGAAAGGATCTCAAAATAGGTAGAACTGAGTAGACCAAATTCTCATTTTATAAGAATGATTTTGTGCAAAACATATATAATAGGTTTTGTAGCCTAATGACCTATCATAACCTGTTAAAGGAAACATAGTAAGGTCACCTTTACAAAAAATTAAAATAAAACTTTTTTTTTTTTTTGTCAAAGGCTATGATGATGAGGAACCAGTAAGGGAAAGAAACATGGAGGATCAGCAGCAATGATGTCAATCCAGGGCTAGTTTGTAAAGATTCAGTTTTTGTGTGTGTGTGTTTGATGTTGTAAACTTTGTATTGTTTTCCTTCCGGTTCATAAATACGGACCACTTTATGCTGACCTATCATACAAAGATCTGCATCACATATTGATGTTGTTTAATGTCTCCTTGTAGCTTTGACTGGAGAAGGTTGGAAGGAGACCGTGGAGCCTACAACTAGAGAAGACTTTCTGCAGTGTGAGTTTATGTTCACATCTGAATGTTTCCAACTCTCTTTCTATCTCTGAAAGTCCAATTTTACTCCTTTGCCTCTGGTTACACCAGATGCCTGTGACCTCTCTCTGGACCCCCAAACGGCTCATAAGGACCTGATCATCTCTGCTCAAGACAAACAGGTGATCAGGTTGTCTGCCGACAGATGCCAAATCCCAGCTTCACCTCATCCAGGGAGGTTCATCCATCGTTACCAGCTGCTCTGCAGGGAGGGCCTGCAGGCCGAGCGGTGCTACTATGAGGTGGAGCTGGAAGGAGACAAGGCAGAGATCGCCCTCGCGTACAAAGGGATAGACAGGAAAAGCAAAATGATGAAGTCGGCGTTTGGGGCCAATGAAAAATCCTGGAGTCTCGATGTCTCTCGGACTTACTCTGTGAGCCACAGATCAGAAAGCGTTAAGCTCTCGCAGGAGCGCAGGGGGAAAAAGATCGGAGTTTATCTTAAATTCAAGGAGGGAACTTTGTCTTTCTACGAGGTGTCGGATAGCATGAAGTTTCTGTACAAGGTAGAGACCCATTTCACAGAGCCGCTGTATCCAGGGTTCTGGCTCGACAATAAATGCAGCATCAGGATCTGTGATTTGAAGCAACACAAGCATTAGATGTTCAGACATTTCAGATCAAAATGTGGTTTCCATACAGAACAGCAGCTCAGGCATTGTGCTCTGTGACTTCATGATGGTTTGACATTTCTTCTTTGAGGGTAAAAACATAATGCACCGATACCAATAATATACTTACTATTATTTAGCCTATTTCCTATTTTATTAAAGCTTCCTGTTTTTGGTTATTGTTCTCTGGATGGTTTTGTTTGGTGTTCATGTAGAATAAACTTCAGACTTGTCTGAATTACATGACAGATCAGGTGGATAAAGCTGAATGATTTCCTTCAGTATCTGTCACAGATCTGGGGTTTTTGGGTTTCATCTGTGTTTGCACTTTAACTATGTTCTTATTCTCTTTAGCCCATTATCTCATATGTCTCTTCCTTCCTATGTAAATAGCTGTAGTAGTTCCTTGACCCCATGATTACCTCTGTGTGTGTCTGTTGTTCTGCTGAGTTCTCTGTAAGTGTTTTTCATAAAATCATTTTCATCTAATGTCTGCCTCCGTTACGTTGTAGTTTTGATCAAATTGAACAAATCATGAAAGTATCAAACTAAAAATTCACAATTCAAAAGTTACATTATACAATTGCAGTTGTCAACTATGAATAAAATAATCACATGAGAGAAAATAGTCTCAATTATTCAAAGGTTGTCTCATCTTGTATCCAAGTCTAATGAGAAAATATTTATCTCATTGCAGCTATCGAAATAAGGCCCCAGTGTGAGAACCAAAGCTTTAGAAATGGCTTTCCGATCATTTCCAGACCGATCTAATCTTTTTCTGATCTTTTTCTGATCTTTCCTTTGATTTCTGTCAGTCGGGACAAGATGTATTGTGTTTTTAAATCTTTTATCCTACTTCAAGTTGTCAGACAGGTTCTAATTAGGCTATGTCTTTATTCTACTGGTGAGGCAGGAATCAGCTATCAAACATGAACAGTAAAAAAACTGGTTAATCACATTTAATTCACAATATAACAACGAAGGCAGTTATATTTTCACATAATGCCAGGCATTATTTTCCGTAGCTTTTTTAATTATTTGAAAAGTGTATGTTGTATTTACTCCGATTATCTTTGATAGTAACATTTCTTTGATCTGAAATGTGTGACAAAGGAAAAAGAAACTCTGTAAGTGGACACTATTTCTTTTAAACATAGCTGTGTAATTGTAAAAATGAATTGATTATCTTTATTTTATTTTCTGTCTGCTATAAAATGTTGTTTGGCTGAAATACATTTCTTGGTTGCTGGTCATGTTTGAACCACCATTCAGGCCTTCAGAGATCTACTTAATTAAAATAAGAAACCATTTAAATCTGAAAAATGCTTTTAAAAGCAGCTTTTAATTAAAGTATTTGACAAACAAACTGCCTGTTTGAAGTGTGAGACTTCAATCTAATATCAGATTAAAATTTGCTTTTAACATCTGTTATTTGCAATACCTTTATGCTTCATTTTCTTTAATGTCTTGTATAGCACTTCATCACCTTGTATACAAACAAATTTGCCTTTCCTTTATTAAATGTGCCATCTTTGAGCAGAGGGTATGAATATCTATCACCTCCGTGTATCTGCTTTTTTCTCTCTTTAATAAAAGCTTAAGTTATTTGCACTAAATAAGTCATATTACCACAAGACTGAAAAAATAGATTCTGTTGCCTACACTAGTGATTTAAAAATGTTTTCACATTTTGATCTGATTTGTTTTAGATAGATTAGTCAATGAGTGCAGCTCCAAAAGCTATAAAAAGCTACAAAAGCTAATTTCTCCCCAGCTGTTGTGACCCATTATGGAGGTAAAAAGAAACAAACACAGCAGAGGTACGTTTACTCTTTATTTACATTTTATATAGCTATGTTTCTAAGTTTTACACCACTTGTGAATCATTCATCCATACGACTGAGAAGAAACAAAGAGAGTCTGTAAAGGGATGTTTCTAAAGTGTCTCCAGTACAGATAACACCTGAAGTGTGAGCTCAGTAAGGCCCTGCACACACCAGTCTAACTCTACACAACACACACATTTATAAATATAAACACACACACATTCAAGTCTTAATTTCTTACAGTGTGTCCTTTCAGCCACAGTTAATGTGCTGTTAAAATGACAAGATATTGCTTTTACACTGACCTAAAATTTACTGCTACAGTTAATAAAATAAAATAAACACCAACTTTATTTGCTTTCTGGTGAACAAAGTGCATCAGTCACATTCATTTTTACTTTTTGTCACTTGTTAAGACGTTGCTATACTTCACATGAATAAAAACCTTCAAAATAGTTTGGTGATTTGGATGCTTACATGACACACTCACACACACAGCAGGAGGAATCCGACTCATGGCAAGTAAAACTACACACAAAAACACGACGCAGGGTTTACAGCCGCACCAGCAGTCATTGATCATAAACCTTAAAACATTTTTGACAAGATGAAAATGAGACTGCTGCTGTTTCTTGGCCCGCCACTAGCTGGCAGAACCACCTGCTGAGAAAGAACCCATCTGTCACATTACTCTTACTCGGATTAGTTTTGGAGAACAATATTACCCAAGATATTGGATTGAGATAGTGGAGAATAACTCAGAGTTAAACAAAACGATAAAATCTTCCTTATGAAGGTGTCGATTCTCCTTGGAGCTGAATGAGAATAATATGTTAGAACAACAAAGATTTAGTCAGGCTAAGAGAAGCATTGAATACGTATGGACTTGCAATACTCTGAAGAGCCGCTGGGTGTCAGAAAAGAGCCGTCGACGTGACTTTTTAAGCATTGGAGGCGTAAAAACAAAACATATTTCTGAAGTTGCTGTCCTTCCAGTTTCCTGCCTAACCATGCCGGTGTATTGAATAACACGTGGTCAAAATGTGTGTGAAATTAAGAGCAGCCGTTCTGGATGGTGCATGTTTACTAAGATAACCGAGGGGGAATTCAGTGTCCTTCTCCATCAGCACCAAGTACTTTACTTTTCTTTATGTTTTTATTTTTTATTTTTGCCAAATTAGTCTGAATGAGAATATGAGTAAAGAGTTTGCACAGTGTGAGATGTATGTATGTATATGAATTTGGCAGACCGTTTTCTCCAAAGTCACTTAAAAAAAAGAGGAAATAATAATAATGCAGTTAATATCAAAAACTCTGTGCTGTTATCTCTTAGTCTAAGCTCTGCCCCATTACGTCTAATTTAGCTAATTTGCACACTAAATGCATAAATAGTTTTACTTTTCTCAAATTAATTCATCTATGCTTAACTTGAATTTGTTTGACAGCAACAACAAGAATAATCTTGTTAATATAATTGTAAATTCAGGCAGTAGGGAGTTAAGCTTAAAGAACGTTGACAGGAACATTAGCCAACATGTTTCCTCACTCCTACTCCAAAGGCTTCTTCGCTACTGAGATAATTGAGTTAAAATTTAGAAATGACTTAATTTTTTGAGACTATTTGACTGCTTGCGTGGCTGAAACCCTGTGGGCAAGTGGTGAATATCGGTGCCTCACACCTCAACAGCATTAATAACCAGCAGCATTTTCAGAGCTAATAACAACAAGCAACACCAAAAATAACACGGACAAATGCTTAAATACACGGAAGCCTTAAACAAAATGAAAATATATATTACATGTTCTCTTCTCTGTTCATCGTCGCTCAAATATAACAGCAAATATACAGCATAATAAAATAAATAGTCCATTTATAATTTAACACCTGTGCTTTGAATATTGCTATAGAAAAATAAATAAATGTGCAACATGAACTAAGATGTGCTTTATTTTAACAATTAATTTATCAGTGTGTAGAAAAAAATAAAAAGATTTAACATCAGTACAACTGTACCTAAATTTAATTATTCTAAACAGGTTTAGTTTTCTACAAATATACAGAAGACTGCATGTTGGTGCTTGTAATGGCTGTGCAGCTGAACTGTCTAAGGCTTTCTGCAGTGCATACTATTAGCTGACAGGTTAATGTTATTTGGGCTTTAACGTAGCAGGTTCCTCTGTCTTTTGGTCCATTTTTGTCAATATTATTCATTATGATTCGTCATTTTTAGTTTGTGCTTTTATTTTTATGTTCACATTCGGCCTCTGTGCTGTTTGGGACGTACAGGACTTTCCACAAATACTGGCCTGCCTGGAAAACACGAGTATTAAAGCCTTATAATAAACAGCTGTTATGAAGACTTGGCAACCTCTGTAATACTATTTATTTGTACCTGATGTTCCACTAAGGTTGTTCTGCATTTAGTTAATTCCTTTAATTTTAGTTTATTAGTTTTTTCTTGTATTCTGCTCTCTGTATGTTGGTTTAGAGTCATATCATGTGCTTTGTAGATCACTTTGTGCTCTTATTCAGCTTCCTGTGTTTATTTCTGTATTCATTAGTCACATTCCCTCAGTTTATATAACCAGGTTTTACTCTCCGATGCATCACATTCTCCTGATTCGTCACACCTGGTTTTGGCGTCATTCATTAACCCTCCAGGGTGAAAAACCTCTCAGTATCTCTTGATTCCCATCATGTTTTTGCTGCTTTCACAGTTTTTTTTTTTTTGGTTCTCTTGTTTTTAAAATATTTTCTTTAACTCAATAACCATCACTGTGTTGCTGCCACTTTGAGGTTTGCATTTGGGTCCAACTACAAATCTCAACACTTCTGTCATGTCAAATTTATATCGAAATTAAAGTTTTTAGACACTTTGATCAATGCATTTATTGCAAAAAACACTATTTTATTAAAAACAATTATTTTCTAGTGGTAATGTTTTTGCGCACAGTGAATAAGTTTACAGGAACTGAAGAATTATTTTGTCAAAGATTTTTTTTTTAGTAAAATCAAGCTGCTACAATAGAGATTTAAACATTTTGTAGCTTTTCACACATTGTTACCAGGGAAGCCAGGAAGTGGAAAGGAAGATGTTGTTAGTTATAGGAGTACATTTTGAATTGTGCATCTGTGTACCAATAAAACAATTACAATCTGTGATTTACTTGTGCACATAAACTGTAAAAATACATGTGTTTTTGTAGCATCAATCAAACAGATTTGACTTCAGATTAGCAGGAACATCTTGTGCCTTCCACACATATGAAACATACCATACAGGTATGTGTTCCAGTCTCATGAGTATAAAATAAAACCAATAAAATAAACTTTTACTCCAACTAAACACATGTGAGGCTCACATTTTTTGCCTGAATTCAAGTGTTTTGTTTGTTTTCACTCTTTGGTGGAGAATCTAAAACGATTAACTTCTACATAACGTGTGTGTGTGTGTGTGTGTGTGATAGAGAATAACATTGGTGCTTTAATCTCCACATAGTAAAATCTACAGGCTTCTATAACTAACTGTACATCAATATTTACAGACTGAACAAAGATCGCTACATAAAATCCTGAAGGTGATTAACTTTGGGTCTGAATGAAACAGATTTGTACATCTTTACAGCAGCCTTATACAAATATCACACAGAAACACATTCAGAAAACTAAATGTAGTTTTTGTTAGATGTTTTTTGTGTGTGTTCATTTCAGAGTCACTGCATATTGGACTAACAATACCTTGTTTTACCCAGTGTATGGCTTCGATCTGATCACAAAAAGCCAAAAAACAACAACAAACAACTGTGTTTTGAAGCGTGTACTCTATAGAAAAACTAGGCGACCACTTAAATTTTCTGTGTTGTACACACTTCAAAACATTGTTTTGAAGGTTTTGTAATATCAGCAGGGAAAAGGCTGGAAACTAAACTGCATGTTGGATTGGTTTTAGTAAGAGGAAAGTCAAGAGTCTGACTCTGGTGTGAGAGGTGTGAGAGGTGTGGGCGGCGTTGTTGGTGTCGTGGGACTTATCGCAGCGTTTTGGTAGCTCGTGCCGTAGCAGACGTTTGGAGACAGAGAGTTGGGATCCACAGATTTGTTCCCTGCAGGAGTGACGTAGGGTTTGCGGGCCACGCCTGACAATGGCGTGTCGCCGGGCTTGGCCCCGAGGATGAATCTGGCCTCGTCCTGCTCCTCAAGGTTGGAGATGTCTTTCATCATGGTTTTACGGTAGGAGACAGACAGCTTGTTGGAGCCGTCTGACATCAAGTTGAAGTGGCGTGCGATGAAGACGATTGGGAGAGGAAGCATGGCCACTACGATGAGAGCGAAGCACATGGCCAGAGCCCAGGGAGGGTAACTCTGGAAACGTTCCTGAGCCTGTAGGGATGGACATGTACAGCTTAAAGCAAACACAAGAAGAAATATTTACACTTCTAAAGGTGGAACAGATTCACTTAGTGTCAAATTCCTAAAACTTTTCTCAGTTTATTAATTTACAGCCTCTTACTACAACGTATTTTTGGGATAGACTCAAAAAGTAGCACGTAATTGTACAAAAAGGATGCATACTTTTCAAAAATCTTTTACAAATAAACATCTGTAAAGTTATTGGTTACCAAATCATTTCAGTTTGTTTCTGTCACACTGATCTATGATAAAGTTCCTCCAGAGTGCTATAGAAAGCACTCCCAGTGCAGATCCAGCTACGCCCCAATAAAAAAATCAATCCTGCCCATTGATCTGCTCATCCATGTTTATTGTTCTCCTCTATTAACTCTTTCTATTCTTAACATCCATTTCATGAATAATTTCTTACTCTTCCTCCTTCTCAAATGATCATTTTGGCTGGTTTGGCCATACGCAACTCTGCTAGATTCTCATCTCCTTTCAGTTTTCCATCTGGGATTTTTGCCATTAAACTGGAATCAGCAAATAGAAAGCAAAGTTGTAAACAATGCCATTGATTTTCTGCGTAGCTTTAGAATTACAGTCTGCCTGCAGTTTTAGCAACAGCAGCGAAGGAAGTGAACGACTGTTCAGTCTGTTTTGGGGCAGAGACACATTGAATTAACACCAATATAATTGGGTAAAATTTAAAAATTCAACAGAGTCCACGCCTCCAGGAAGCAAATATTTCACAATAGCCAAGAGCACAGACTCTATTTATGAAGAAAAGCATAAAACAAGGGGCTGGTTTTTACCAGGAAATGTCTTGGCAAGTTCTATCAATGACATTCAGTTCCTCATTTGGGGCCTTCCTGAGTCTTCTTCCTGAAGCCACCAGTCAGAAGACTCCAACGAGATTAATTAGCTAGAAGATACTTGGACTTTGTGTTTGTATGAAAGTCTCACCTGCTTCAAACTTTCACAGAACAGCTAAACAACAACAACAACAATTAACAGCTTGAGTAACTTCTCTCACTATTGCTGAGGCACCAAACACCAAACCACAGCAACCAACAAAAAGCATGACTGGAGTCTAATAACACAAGTAGTTTTCTTACTGTTGGTGATCTATGGAGCAAAAACCTTTTGTCAACCATTATCGATGAAGCAGCTTTGGCCTCTTAATAGAGATTTTCTTTGGTTGGAAACAGAAACACATGGTCACAAAGTGGTTGTTGTAGGTCAATGGTCCCCAAAGTCGGTCCTGGAGGTACCAGCATCCTGCATGGTTTAGTTCTCTGCCTGGTTTAGCGCACCTGGATCCAATGATGGCTCGTTAGGAGGCTAAGAAGAACATTGACCTGCTGAAAAGGTTGTTACCACCACCAGGGAGAGAACTAAAACATGCAGGACGCCGGCCCTTGAGGACCAACTTTGGACACCCCTGATGTAGGTGGTGAGGATGGATGCGGTCAGACGCAGGTGAGGTGCAAATATGAGTTTAATGACATCCAAAGATACACAAAGCCAGGAACCAAAAGTGAGCAACACAAACTCTAGAAGGCCACAGTGGTACGATGATAGCACAAGTCTTGACAAGATGGCAAGTGACAAAAGAGCAGGATCGGACCGGGAACAGGGAACACAGGTGAACTTTAATACATGATGGATTAATCAGGGAATGAGAGACAGCTGGGACAACACAGGGGCTAAATTAGCTGAAAGAACTGACAGAAAACCCAAACCACCACACATATGAACTGACCAGGTCTTGGACCCATGCGTTGTATCCAGGTGGGCTGATGGCCATCTCTATGACTGTGGCCGAGATGAGGACGATGAGACAAAGAGGAGAGACGTACTTCCACAGGTAGAAGTAGATTATAGACGGTCGAAAACCCAACATGTCCTCCAGGTCTTGCATGAAGCTGAAAAAAGATGGCAGCAACATTTACACAAGACAAAATAGTAGCAGACACACAAAATGACTTCAAAAACATTATGACCCTTTTTCCACATTCTTCCATATAATAACAAGCGTCTTAAAGTTTTTTTTATATATATTGCAAAGCACTTTGTTGTTGGAAATTTGCTATATAAATAATTTTGACCTTGAACTTAAATCTGCTTGCATTGGAAGTTTTCATAAAATACTGACACAAAGTGGAGCATCATTTTAAAGGTTATTACAAATAAAATCAGAAAAATGTGGCATGTATGTGTACCTGAAAAATATAAATCTTATAAAATAAATTGCTCAAATAAAATAAAAAATAGGCAATGAGAAAATACTACAAAAACAGATTATTGGTGACAGTGACCATCTAGACAAGGATATTTTTACATATTTGCCCTTGTTAAAAAACCTTGTGCACATTCAGACTGGATGGTCAACAGAATTTTTAAAGCTTTACCAAAGATTATAAACTGGATTTAGGTCTGGGCTTTGACTAGGCTCTCCCACTGGCTGTCTGGTCAGGGTTGTTGTCATGTTAGAAGGTAAAAGTCAAAGCCACTAAATGGTTTTCTTTCTGTATTATCCTGTATTTACCTCCATCAAACTGCACTTCAGGGTATCCAAGTAAGGATTCATAAAATTACAGAATTTTATTTCTAAAAAAATAAATAAATTTATGTCATTATTATGCTATACTTTATGATAAAATCCTAAAAGCATACTTTTAACGTTTTGGCTGACACTTAACCTTAAGTCAGTCAGTGCGTATAAATACTTTTGTGAAGCAGTTTCTATAGTAACACACTCGCAGCCTTACCGTTTGGTGCCGTAAATCCAAGCGACAGAGACATTTTCCAGGATCACTACAACAGTGAGGGGCAAACCGGCTGAGTAATCGTCAAACATGGTGACGAAATAATTTCCTGAACGCTGAACAAACAACAGCCCACAGAGGAAGGCCACGATGCAGCAGCCCACTGAAAAAACACACAGACAAGAGGAAACATTAGAGCTATTCTGAGAGGAATATGGAAAAATATCAACACTGTTTTCCAGCCCATTACTGGTTCCAGATCCTATTAATGCTTCGCCATTCAATACACGTGAAGCGTTGATACAAAGCTTAATGCAGGCTATTCCCGGATGTATTTTAATAAATCATAAGTGCTGAGTTCAGAGTTTGTGAGGGAGCCGGGACAGGAAGTTGGTGGGGAGAGCTGGGAGTACCTGTGAAAAGCTCTTTCTGAACTTTGTAGGCGTCAAGGACGGGTGTGGTGATGCCAGTCATGGTGCCAATCATGCTGCCCAAGCCGAGGTTGATTAGCATGAAAAAGAACATTACAGACCAGAAAGGGGATGCTGGGAAATGGGTCATGGCCTCCGTGAAGGCGATGAAGGCCAGACCGGTGCCCTGAACTGCCTACAGAGAGACGACCCAGGCAATGAGATGCGGTTCGTGCTGAAGGTCAGCTGATTGTCGATGTGTCACAAACACTCGCCTTGTTGAGCTCGTCCTCCAGCACGCAGGGCTCCAGACCCAGCTGGGCAAAGCCGTCCTCCTTTACCGTCCTGATGATGCTGTACACGTCAGCGTAGTCTGATGGGGTGAGATGGGAAAAGTTCACGTGAGGAGGAATGAGATCGTGACTCAGGACGTTGGAGTTGAGGTATCCCAGGATCTTTTCTCCATTTCTACAGACATTAAAAAGTAGAACGGTCATATAGCAAACACATAGCTAATGACAGATATGAAGCTCAACAAGAACAAGCCACACCTGGACAGAAAATGGGTTTTCAGCTTGAGCTGTACAAGAAATAAGGTCACAGTGACAAATATTCAGAGTTCTGAATATTTGCTTATTCTGTTCTATTTACAGTTAATAATCTATCAGCTTTAGTTTTTATACCAAACAAGAGTAAATCTATGATGAAGTCTTAGAAAAACTATTCTTGATAGTTTTTCTAAGACTTCATTATATTTGTAAAGCATTTTAAAGACAGGGATAATGGATTTATTTACAAGTAATGGATGAGTGTTACTTTTCTATTCTTATACAATCTTTTCTGAACATTTTTTTCATACTGTGCTACTTGAGCAGCATGGATTGATGTTGAACTGGGGAACATAGAAAAGTTTTGCTAAATTGCTGGCATTTCAATTACGTGCGCTGTTGCTTGTGTATTTTGTTAAAATATACATTGATATATTGCTTGATATGTGCATTGTTGCTTTACTTGGTGTATTTTCATTTATTTGTGTATTATTGAATGGTGTGGTGCAATATGGTCAAAATCAGAAGTACAGTGCAAGTGTATTCTACTCCACTTCGTAAACATTTATTTATCAAAAACATTTTTGTGTTCAATTCAGCGTGAAGCACAATTCTTTTTTTTTAGTTTCTACAAATAAGTAGCCAACCAGGATACTGCAACAGCAGATTGAAAATTAGTTAGCTTAAGCAGCTAAGTAATGTTGGGAAATCAGACCAAAATGTTTTTATGTGATGTAATCCGAACATTGTGTTCATATTGCGGGTTTTTATTTCACTTGGACTTACTCTGCGACACATTTCTCATTCATGATGTTGGCCTTGAAGCCCAGCACGGCGAACACCACCAGCGTGGCCAGAATCGAGGTGAAGAAGTTGATGAAGGAGACGAGCACGGCGTCGAAGTGGCAGTTGTTGTCAATTTTGTTGTAACTGGAGAAAGCTATGACGCCTCCGAAGCCCAAACCCAGAGCAAAGAACACCTGGGTGGCCGCTTCCCTCCAAATCTGCGGCTCCAGCATCTTCTCCAGCTGAGAGACGAGGGGGGATCATTAGGAGCTGCTTGACTGGTGGAGGTAGCATCATGTAATCAGGCTCACCTTTGGAGTAAACATGTGAGCGATCCCATCTACTGATCCTTTGAGCATTAAACCTCTGACCAGGAAGCAGAAGAGCACCACGTAGGGGAAAAGAGAGCTGAAGTACATCACCTGCAGAAGAAAAAAGAAAAATGCAAAAAGGACTTTTAGAAATAGAAAATACTTAAATTCTCTAATGTTTTCTCCATCCCCACTACCTTCCCAGAAGAGGCGATTCCTTTAATGACAGCAAGGCAGACAATTATCCAGGCCACCAGCAGAGATAAGGTCATTTTGATGTTGAGGCCGCCGCTCTCTGCGATGGTGCTGGTCGTGTTCAGAGTTTGCCGGTACCAGAAATATGTAGTGGCTGAGCTTTTGTCACACTCCGGCTCTACAACTGGAAAGAGAGAATAGGAAATTATAAAAGCTATTTGGAAAAGAAGCGGGTGCGGAAATAGAAGACGATTTGTTTCCGATGAAAAGAGCCGAGGAGGGAACGCACAACTGGAAATGTATTGTAGCTGGGAATGTTTGCTCATGTTTCAATTTACGCCTCTCAGAAATACACAAGGTCATCTGTGGCTTAACATGCAGAGCATGAACCGTCAGAGATTGCTTTCATTCCACACACATTTATTTTTTCCTATAATAATAAAATGAATTTGCAGTATTGTCCAAATACATCTGTGCAAAAGCAAGTAAATATGTCCTTTATAGATGAATACACTGTTTCTAAAACAAGAGTCTTGTTAGGTTTTTGAGAAAACCTAGCTAGCTTTTAGATTTAGCTAAAAGCTAGTTTTAGCTTTTAAGCTAACAAGGGGAATGCATCACATAACTATTGTTTGATTTTTGTTCTTCAAAAACAGTGATGTGCACATTGAACTGAGTTTGTTGTGGTTGCAGAACGCACATTTATTTTTCTCCACACTGACTGGATCCAGTGCATATAAATAAAATTCACGTTGACGTTGACGTTGGCGTAGGCGCTACATAGTGGAGTGTGGGTGCAATGTATAAATTTTGCTCAAGGGCTGGATACAAAATTGCACTGAAATGAGACAAATCTAATGCAACATTTAAAAAAAATTGAGAAAACCTAATTATCAGCTTTTGTTGCTAGCTGAAGCTTGCTGAGCAGAATTATCTCACGTTTCCATTTGGAAACTTAAATATGATTAAGTTGGGTGTGGAGTCATTATAATGTGCAACTATATTTCCGTCTTTTAAAAATCTCAATATTTCAACATTTAAAGTTTTGAATATTAGACAATGATTTAACTGCCTTCTCTTCTCCTAATTTCTGACCAACATCTTTCTATACAGCAACCACGTAATAACTGGCTTTACAGAGGTCACTCTCTTAGTGCCATTTGGTTTACTTTGGTAATAAAATTTCAAAGGCAGTTATTATCCTTGTCAGAATTTCCTCTCCAGCCCAGACATGACAATTTGATCATAAAATTCCTATTTTGTGCTAAATATTGGAAGTCGTGTGATCTTGTTAACGGCACTGTTTTTGCTTCTTTGGTTTTTGCTCTGCTTCTGCTGTGTTGACCTTCAAAACCCTTTTATATCAGTGAAATATATATATACACACATATATATATATATGTGTGTGTGTGTGTGTGTGTTTTAATGTGAGATTTGATGTCACTCACTGGCTATTGTCCCATTCTTTCTAATCGGACAGTCGCTCCACGGCAGAGGGAACTGGAAGGACTGGAAAAAGTAGAAGATGCTCCAACCAATGATGACGTTGTAGTAGAGACCCACAAAACCACAAACCTGACAGATAGATAGATAGATAGATAGATAGATATTCAACATTTTAATGCAGAATAACATCTGTGCAATGCAAGAACAGAATTCAGATGAGGCAGGAGGATGTTCTGTAAATGTCCCAAGTTGCTGCCAGTCTTCTTTACAGTCTTTCCAGCAAGGACATTCAGACTCTAAATAAGGTTGGGGAAAGCATGAATAATTAAAGTCTTCTCTTTTCAGCAGTGATCTTCTCTGAGGTATTTATAGCCACAACTTCCCTGCCAGTTATGCTTCTCTGAATAAAGGCTGCCTTGCATTCTCAAACACATGAGTGACGTCCACAAACCACAGAGGGAGCACACATACGTACAAACACATGCAGGTATGTTAACTGTCTCTGGCAGCTGTGCACACTGTTGGTTTTCTGTCAGTCAGTTTCATATTTTAATCGTCTGGACTGGTTTCACTTAACGTGTGTAATTTGTCAAAAATTAATCAGTTGAGTTTACCGCCTTCCTCATAAGTTAACAGCAAAATTTTGTAGAGAGCATACAGCTGTAAAACTGGTTGACCAAATGTGCTGGAGCTCCAACTGGGTTGCTAGGTAACGTGGCAGGGCTCTGCCAAGGTTGCTAGGTAACATGGCAGGGCTCTGCTAGGTTGCTAGGTAACGGCGCAGTGCCCCTTGACTTAACAATAGAGAGGTTTCTGAAATGGCTCATTTTCCAGACATCAAAAAACATTAACTTATTTCCAAAGCAGCCAGGTGTTTGTTAATCGTTTAGGTTGTTTTTAGAAGTAGCTGAAACTGAAATGGAAGTATAAAAACATGCAAAATGTGAATTTTTTTGTATAAAAAAGTCCCCTTTAAGAACCACCTACACTTTGTTTTTATACATAAATAATATAAAAATACAATCCATTGTTATAAATGACCTTTAGAAACCGCTGAAATGGTAAATAGAGAAATGTTCTCTTATTAGCTGCACATTATCTTAATGTTTCTAATATTTAGCATGCTAACTAAGACTCATTATGTCAGAGATGTAGCTCTTAAATGTCATTTTCCAAAATTTTGAGCATGATCTCTCCATGTTCTGGGTAACTGATGACTTTAAATGTTCTTTATGTGTGAGTGTGTGTCTGATTGTTTGCTCTGTGTGTCTCTGCGTTGTGATGGACAGTCATCCTGTTTGCTCGTACGTCCAGTCGAGAAGAGCTGAGACAATATTTCATCTTCCTAATCTCTCACAATTTTGAGTTTTTGCCTTTTTTTTATTGCCTTATAATCCTTCCAGGACTGATGGTGCAGCTGTTTGCTCCAGATAAGCAAACAACTGAGACTCCAGCTTTAACTCAGCTGCTCACGCATGCTGATGATCTGTGATTAAAGCATTTTGTTTGCAGTGTGATGACCCCTGCAGGTCTTTTTGTTCTCGGGTTGGGATTTCTCCTTTGTTCTGCAGCACTGGTTACTGTGATAGAGAACACCTGGGGAGCTGGTGAGTCCCTCGGCAATTTAAAGCAGACAAAATTCATAATATCTGACTTAAGTGAAGGCACATATGTTACAATTGAAAGCATATATCTGCATACTCCAAATAAAAAGACATAGGCATATTTTTTCTCACTAACTGAAGTTAAATCAGACCAAACTTTTCTTGTTTTATGTCAGTTTGAATTACCAATACTTATAGAGAGAGCATGTTTTGTACGCTCTCCAATTAAGCACACTGCATGCCACTGATTGGACTGATCTTCACACCACACTACAAGCTTTGACCTTTAACTTTTATTTGAAAAATTAAAGATTTTTTTCCCTTCTTGAGGCTTTGAAGTGGTTCATAGTGGCAGCTCCAAGCTCTTACCTTCCCCTTGAACTAAGAAAAGCAGTGAAGGAATGTTTTCCACCAAATGGTCTTTATTTTATTTATTTGAAAACTAAATAATCGGTTATGGTTTTCTTCAATAATTTCATGTCTGGTTGCATAAAGCCTTCTGTCTTTTATACCTTGGCTGTAAGTATAATAATGCTTACTGATGCAGAAAAGGGACATGCTCATAAATCACACAGAGCTTTGTCTTGTTATACTTTCACAGCTGCACATTCAGCATTTTGTTCCTCTTCAGGATTTAAGAGCTGATATGAAAACATGAACTCCCAAATCCTTATCATACGTGCATCTGAATTATTCACTGTTAAGGAGGGGGAAAAAAAACAAAACATGGGTACCATCAGACTTGACATCCCAATCCCACCGAGACGCGGACAGACGTAGTTCCAGACTCCGATGCTCCCACGTCTGATCTTCTGACCCACAGCCAGCTCCAGGAAGAAGAGCGGGATGCCGATGATGATGAGGAGGATGAAATAAGGGACCAGATATGCACCTGAAAGACAGAAAAATGGGTTTTAAAAAATATTTATTCATTAAATTTCCCTGTTTGCTTCCTTGAACAGGTTAAGATAGATCCTAACCCGTTTTGTGACAAATAAAACATGTTTGTCACATTTCTTGTAAAAAATCATTTAGCCTGGTCAGTTCTGCCTATTTTGAGCTCAGAATAAGATGTTTTAAGGCCTCCTGTCACTTTAAATCCTATTAAGTTGCTGCCCATGCTCCCCAACCCACAGCTGCAAACAAACACGCAAGTATATAAATGTACATATTTGAAAAACAGAAGTAGGAGCTCCTGCGCAACCAACAAGAATTCAACAATTGACTTCTAGATGGTAAGTCAATAACAAAACACTTGTCTTTTCCAGCAGCCATTATACAGTGCATACAGCAGTAAATTCAGCTGACCAAATGGACTGGAGCTCTGCTTGGGTTGCTAGGTGATAGGTTGGGCTCGCCTGAGGTTGCTAGGTAACAGCTCAGTGCCTGCTGAATTTGATGGAGGTTTTTGAAAGGCCAAATTTTTTAGACATCAAAAAGCTTTAACTTATTGCCATGAAACAGCTGAGTAATTTTTGTTAGTGCCCAGGTTGTGTTTAGAAGCAGCTGAGGCCCAAATAGAAGCATAAAAATGTGCAAAATGTGAAATTTACATAATAGGTCCTCTTCTGAATCTAAATGAATACATTTCCTCATCCTGAATTTAAAACAGAGTCACCCCCAAACCTCCCCACAGATGTTTTGCACAACACAAGAAGTCAAACATGAAGATAATTAAGAAACAAAATGATGGACAATGAGAGGGGGGGAAAAGCACGATGGGAGCCCACACAGCAATAACTCTAAGATAACTCCGTCTGTAATTTGTTGGTAATTGGCTGACAGACAGTAAATTACACGTGAAAAATGGCAGCCAGCCAAGACTCCCAACCAGAGCGCTTTGAGGAAATAAATTGAGCCTACAGGCAATAAACTGTTTGCTTTGGTAGTAAATCAGGCAGAAGCAGCAGAGCTGAAAACAGTCGGGACAATTACAGCATCATCCCGTCGGTCCGTCACAACAAGATGTCGCTCCTGATAGTGAAAATACTCAGTTCATGCCTCCGGTTGCATGCATGCATCGCAGACAAAGTAAACCCGATAAAGTTACAGCGACACGTTTCCTCCAGCTCCTGTTTGCAGGAGGATTGGTTCAGCCCAGCCGGGCCGGGCCGGCCCGCCTACCAGCTGTAGTAATCAATAGTGCGGCTATATTTAGACCTTTTCAGCACAATGCAGCTGCTCTCTTGGCATGTTCTGCTCTGAATGAGAGCGATGAGCCGCTTTTGATGGCTGAGCTCTGAGGTGAACTGCTGAATGACTTTCTTCAGCTTCACAGAGGAGCCAAGAAGCTAAGTAGCATAAATCTGCAAATTATCTACATTTTAACATGAATATTGTGTCAAAATATGACTTCCTTATGGATTGTTACAAGCAGTCAACGTAGTTTTCCTAAAGAATTGAAGTCTCAAACTCAAACTCCAATCCAAAGATAGTTATTTTATCAGATAGATTTGGAGGAACAGAACAAGAAAACTTAAATCAACATCACATCTTCCACACATGAAGAGCTGCACCGCTCACTCGCCTGTTTTGATTTGTTTCTCTGCACGTCTGCAGACCAACGTCTTCAGGCATTGCTGAAGTTTGAAATGTGCTCTCATGTTGGCAATTAGAGGTTTATGCTCTGATGCCTCTTTGTAATTGTCATTTGCTGCTGTTTGATCACAGCAATTGCATTACAGCTGCTCTGGATTGAATATCACGACACATGTGACTTATACACAGAGCATCTGGAAAGTATTCACAGCACTTCACTTTTTCCACATTTTGCTGTGCATTTATGTTAAATATTCAATAAAATGCTCCTAATTGTCTTTAGTTTTGTTTGTGCGTGGTTGGTAGTTAGCTTATGAATTAAAATTGGTGTCTAAACATGACTTTCTAGATAAGAGTCAGATAATTACCAAAATGTTTATAACAGGTTAAAAAGGTTTTATTTCACATTAAAAAACTGGGTTAGATGGACGACCTTGGCCACTTTAACAATGGCATATTTTTTTATTTATAAGGACATATTAGAACTTCTTCCTTCGTATTTGTTTGCGAATATGAAACAAATACAATTTCTGTGACTAAAATCTGAACTGAACTTGGAAAGAAACGTTTTCGGTTTCCTGCTCCATTTTCTTGCAGAAAATCACGGACCTAAAGCAGCTGCTGTCACTAAATGTCTCAAGGTTTCGTTTACTGATTTTGAGAAGAAATCATCTGTCTGTAAATGTTTCACACAACGAATCTCTGAGTTAATTTATGAATCACAGTGTTACCGTTTAATCCTGGTCAAATAAAGGTTAAGAAAGAAACGTAAAATCCTCCTTCCTCTGTGCTTCTTGTGATTCATTGTGTCAAACATCTTCACCCTGCTCACCTCCTCCGTTCTTCTGGCAGAGGTACGGGAATCGCCAGACGTTTCCGAGCCCCACGGAGAAGCCCACCTGGGCCAGGATGTACTGCAGCTTGCTGTTCCACGCCGGCCGGCCGTCGCTCTCGGGAACTTCTATCTGAGGGATCTTCTTCCCTGCGGCCGCTCCCACATTCAGGGAGCTGCTCTTGTAGTCGAGAGGCTCCTCATGGGCGAGCAGGTCGGCCACCGACTCCGTGACGTGCTCATGGCTCTGCTCGCGCTGCACCACCTTGCTGGTCTTAGGCATCAGGGAGGCTGGGGGGTCCGGGAAGGGGAGCGGGTACGCACAGAGAGAGAAAGAAGAAAAAGAAAAGAGGACAGAGAGGTAGCGACTGAGAGGAGGAGAGAGATTACTGACAGGAGAGGAGCGGGGAGAAGAGATGAATGGATGAAGCTATGAGGAAGAGCCTGAAGGGTCCAGTACTTGGTTCCAGTTCTGCGTTTGGAGAATCAAAAACACAAAATGGGTGACAAAGTTAAGAGCAAACATAGTGGACAGATGTACAAATTCACCAAAAAAAACACAAACTTTTATGCTTCTTCTACCTTAGTGTGGTCTTTATGACTTCAATTAGCTGCTACACTGTGAAACATTTGAGCCACATTTAGTTTGTCGACCGTCTTCTGCTCTTTAAGTCAAATAAATTTATCTAGTTTTAGATTTTGAACCTAAATGTTTGAGTTTGTGAAATTTAAACCTACAGGTTTTAGGTTGGCAATTAAAAAAATTAAAAAGGAAAAAGACAGGAGTAGGAACTGTTTCCCAGAATGCTTAGCGTCTTGTTTTTGAATCCTGAGATGGAAACGAGTTACATTGATCTGATTATGGTGCTTTATTAAGGCAGATGCTTATTTTAATGCAATTCTCAGATATTTTGCTCATGTAGTTTGAAATAAGAATTTAAATCATTCTAAAGTAAAATAAGTAGTTATTTTAACTTCATATTGTGAGTGAAAATAATAGAGGTTATATATTATTTGGTTTAAATTGCAGCATTCAGTTAAAACTCACAATTCAAAGATTAATGAACAAAGTTTAGACAACTTGTCTCTCGTTTTTAGATCAGCTTCATGAACTTCAATTTCTGAGTTAAAGCAAAATCAAATTTCTTGTTGACTGAATTTGCATTTTCAAGGCAGCAGATGGACTTTCATTTTCAAGTTAAATCACCTCCAAATGTTTTACAGTGCACTGGTTGTGCTAATGGTTCTCTGGAGTCATGAACTCGGTTCAGGGTAATTCTTCCTCTTATGTAACAGTTTTGCTCCCAAAGTTTCCAATCCTGAAAATTGTTCTGTTTAATTTCCCTGCTTTGAAAAGCTTAGCTCCAGCGATGCTTTTTTCGCTCTGCAAATCCTCTAATCCTCTAAAGCATCGCAGTAACATGCATCCCGGCCCCTTTTTTCAGGGAACGTCATGCAAAAGTAGTGGAGGAGGTAAACACGATGCGTTGGATGCAGAACCCTGTGCTTTCCTGATCCTCATCACGTGCTCCTCTGCTGGTAAATCACCAGCTTCTCTGTTTAAAAAAGAAACATCTGGAGCAAAACTGTAAACGTTGTACGATGTTTCATCAAAAGAAAAGAATGAAGGTAAAAATCTGCCATGATTAAGATTTAATTCTGCCATGAATTTTTCACTGCTCAAAGCTTTTACAACAACAGAACTCAATGTGAATCCCACATCCTGCTTCCCAAAACAAAAAATAAAATCAGAAATTAAAATATGATTCTGTAACAGAATCACCCACTTCCCCCTGAAATCAATTTCATTTTTACCTTCACTTTGTATTTCATTGCTGTTTGCTCCTCTACGTTTCTTTGAGTTTGTATTTTTATCATTTTTGTTCACTTTTATTTTTTTAGCATAGTCACAAATCTATTGAGCCATATATTCTCCATTTTGGCAGGTTTGGTCTTCCATAGCTTTAAGAGGCAGTCCTGAAATGCCCCACAAACCCTCTGAGCAGGAAGTCACATATTTGCAATGTGTTGTTCTTTATAAAAACAGATTTCCTTTTTCCCCATGTGAAGATGAGCTGCTGATGCAATAATCCACAAGTCGTGGTAATCCTGGGCGCATTAACCGGAGCCCCTCCTCCCCTGCGCTGCTTTACGACTTGTCATTCATTCCCACTCTACAGTACACAAGACACGTAATGTGAGCTGCATCATCCTTTCAGCTCCAGGAACACATCAGCTCACAGAACCAATAATCCTGCTGGAAAATGAAACAAATCGACCCAGAATGTAAATGAACTCGAAGCCTCAGAGAGGCCGAGAGAGGAGTTCCTCCTTATTCCTCCTTATTCCTCCTTCGCCGTTTCTTAGCTTGTCCTTGAAACATGCAGACTTTTTTTTTAATGCTTTTTCGTGTACAAATCCAAAGTTTCCATAAGTTAGACCAAAGAGGAAGAGAAACTTCTCATGCTTTGATCTAAACGTCTCCCACAGTCACATTATTTTTGCAGCCCTTATTTTATTTTATTATATTTTATTTTATTTTTTCAAAGATTACACTTGCATTTAACTCCGTCTATTTTCAAATAAACTCTAACCAGCTTCTCCACCCACATCATTATGCTGCCACTACCATGTTCCTGCATTGGGTTGGTGTTAGGGCTGAAATGATTCATCAGATTCATCGGGATGAATCGATTATTGAAATAATCGCCAACTAATTTAGTAATTGATTAATCGTTAACTAAAGTATGCGAAAGGCTAAATAAACAAAACACATTCAGAGGGATAATTCAACCAAAACTGTATATATAAAAAAAAATTAAATTCAAAATAAACACCTTCGACTGTTAAAATGCTTTATCCAAAACTCCTGAAGTGCCATAATTGTTGTGCCACCTAGCTCAAATTAACTAAATTAATCCTATGTTGTTGAATTTTAGTCAATAAAATGTGAACATTTAAAAAAAATATTTATTGAAAATATAACTAAAATATTTATAATTTCTATTTATTTTGTGCATTTTTAATGTACTTCTAATATTGTATAAAAAAGATTAAGTGGTTAAATGAAGAATAGGTAGAATGTACCAATTTTTAAAACCTACTTGATCATCAGAATAATCGATATGATAATTGATTAGCTGGCGCGTTCAGCAGCATGTGCAGAGTAAACTTTATTTTTCCTGCTCTGTAGAGTGAATAGTTGTCAGCAGGTTCAACCTGGGCTGTGGGTTTATTTCAAGAGTCTGTTCCACTTTTTCCGTGTTTAAATGATGGATTTATGTATTTGGATTATTTGTGGTTCTTGTTTTCTGTCACATAATGACTTTCCTCTTAGTTCTTTTATTCTTTTGTTCGGTTCCTTGCGCATTGTTTTAGTTTTGTGCCCTATTTGATCCCTCTAACTTGATTTTTTAACTAATTAGTCACTGTCCTTCAGCTCCCCTAGTTCCCCTCTATGTCTCACTTGATTAGCATCATGTAGTTCAATTAAAAGATACTTTATTAATCCCAGAAGGAAATGAAATGTAGCTCATGTTATTCAAATTATTGAAAGAGTTGATAGCTGTGGAGAAGAGGATCTTTGTTGTTTCTTGCCATTTTAGTTTATTCTGTCCTTCTGTATTCTGTTATATTAGCTTCATTATTTTCTTTCACTTGTCGTTTCTCTGAGCCTAATATTTGTTTGTTTCTCTCCTCTCAGCCTGTCAGTCTGCTCCTCTTCCCAGCTGTTTTCCATTTCCTGATTTCCCTCTTATCTTAAATGACAATCAAATCTCCTCAATTGGAGTTTATGAATCTTTCTGCTGGTGATTTTGTCTCTTTTTAAAAATGAAAGTGTTTATTCCTCATCACTAAACACGACAGTTATTTCTCCATCAGGACAACAACAGCTTCAGTCACCAGACCTGGAGAGAAATCTTCATCTCCAAATTAAATTTTGCTATCACATATCAATAACATCCAGTAGGACGAGTGATAATTGGCAGCTTTCAGACAGGATCACGAAACCTGATCTGTTGTTTTGACAAAAAAGTGCAGACAACCAAAGGAGGTTTCTTTTTAACTTATTTTATAGGGATTAAGAGCATGACGATTTTAATTCTTTGAGTTTTCTGCTCCTTATCAAATACAGAAAAAATAAAGTAAAATAAAAAATGTGTTTTTTTTCCCCAATCAGGTGTTTTATTACAGCATGTACACAGATCAGATTTGGGAATCTGATCTGTGTATCAGGGCTGCACCAAGCTTGACAGAGGCCGATAAAATAACTTCATTTGGAAACACGAAACTTTATTGGAAATTATGGGAATTTTAGGGAACTGATTGGGAATTAACTGGAAAACATTAGATATAAATATTTTATCTTGTCATGGCCAGACAACAATCCCAAAAACAATTAATATTCACAAGATTTATCCAGTAGTTTAGTCAAAACAAACTGCAGCAATTAGATTTAAATATGTGGCCTCAGTTTTGCAGGTTTGCGTGGTGATGAACACGGTGCATGTAGGAGGCGTGGCCTCAAAACCCCTGCAGTGAGCAGAGTGCTGGGTGAATGTGACTGACCGTGTTCTGGCATTAAATCTGGTTTCATTTTAGTCAATATTATACAAAATAAATTTCACTTAGCCATATTTAAGATCCCCTGGCTTGTACAGCCAAATTTGAATGTTTATTGTCCATTATCATTCTGTGTTTATTCCTGTTTAATTTATGCCAACTCCCATAAATTCTTGTTCATTCCCAAGGAAAACTTCCAAATTTGAAAAGTGCAAATCTCCTCTGTGAGTATTTCTCAGTCTCTGAACTAGTTTACGTTAATCATCGACTCACTTTACGATGATAAAGTCTGCCTCACCAGAGGCTTTGGAACGTGCAGAATAAAGACATTTATCCTGAATCTGGATCACAGCGAAGCTACTTCAAATCAGAGCCGAGCAGACTCCTGAACGACCTTAAAAGCGTCACACCGGAGCCCCGCTGAGCAAGCAGAGCAGCTGGCACATGTGCTGCTGCTGCTGCTGCTGCTGGTGATGATATGTTTGCTCCTCATGAAGGATGCATCGACTTCCAAACACATCCAAGGTCAAGCACGATTGTTTCCTGACCTCCGCCTACAACAAGCACCGCGTTTTACTCCTCAAGACGCTCAAGTTGAGACAACTTAGTAAGATTTAAACATCAAAGTTTCTCTGCCATTTTAATGCAGGATGCACAAGAATTTCCCAACTGCGCCGAGAAGGCACCTCAACTTCTGCAGTGAACCGGTCATGTGTAAAATTATCCCTGCTTACCGTATGGGTATTTTTTGCAGCGATGTCCTCCGATTAAAATGAACGCGGTTGTCGGATGATATACGGAGAGACAAATGAGCATATCCACGGAGCAGATTGGGTGAGTGTTTGGTCCAGACTGAGCGGGTACGGACGGAGCATCACATGCTGAGCATCTGAACATCTGACAGGGCAGGGAGGAGAGTCCGGAGCGCACCGTGACGCACGAAGACCGCTCATTATCCGCGCTGACGGACCGACACCTGCCGCTCCCTCCCGCACTGGTTATCTGGACTCCAGCTCATCCATCCGAAGGGGCGAAACTACGAGGGTAAAAAAAGAAAGTGAGCGTTGTCTTGTTGGATTATTCGGATTGGTTGGAAGCTGAGGAATTTGACAGAAACTTTCACCTGTGTTGGAAAATAATCAATCCTGGTAAACTTAGTAAAGAGCTCTTTACTGTCTTCTGATTGTAGAAATTTAAAATAAATAAACCGTTTTTTTTTTTTTACTCATACAGTGGTAGAATAAATTCGGGTTATGTGTTTCAACAGAATTTTGGCCCAATTTAACCCAACCTTTGGTTTGGATAGGCCTGTGGGCTCCACAAAACATGTTCAACACATTATGCACAATTATATCTTGGTAAATCAGCAACAAAACACTTGTCTTTTCCAGCAGCCATTGTGCATGCAGCGGTAAAAACAGCGACACATTCGTGCTGGTGCTTCCAGTTGCTATGTGACGGGCTGGTCTTGGCTGGGGTTGCTAGGTAAATGGGTGGCTTAACAAATGGGATGATTTTGAAACAACTCGATTTTCAGATACCAGAAATTATAAATACATGGTCAAAAAACAGCTGGGTGAGTTTTTAAAGCACTTTGGGTGTTTTTAGAAGCAACTGAGACCAAATGTGAGTATAAAAACGGTCCTTTAAAACTAACACAACATGTCATAAGAAGAGCTTCATGCCTGTGGTCAGACATGATGTTGGGAGGATGATGGTGGCATCAGGACCTGGGAAGCATTCCCTAACCAATCTCTACTAGAAAAATATGAAGGAGAAATAAGGGTTTTTGAGAGGTCTAGTTAAAGTCCAAACCTAAATCCAAACCAGAGTTTTGCAGCAGGACCTTAAACAAGCTATGTAGCTGATTTAAAACCATTCTGGAAAGACAACCGAATCATAACAGATACTCTTTGTAAATTATCTCATGTGCTCAAAGTTTTAATGACCCAGGATGGGACAACCGGCTGTCAGGCTGAAGGGCAGCTACACCTATCGTCAGGTTGGTTTGAATAGAGTTTTATGAGGATTTCTTTGAATCCAGTCAGAACCAGAACCTATCTGAAATGTAGCTTTGAAGACAGAACCCAAGAAAATGTCAAACTGCTGTAAAGCTGAAGAGAGCCTCCAGATAATCCAGTTTGTTGATCAAGCTGTGGGTGTCTGCAGTCGGACTGGGCGGTCTCTGCTCTATTAAGACCTTGGCACGTCTGCAGCAGACACGGACCCCCGGGGGACCATAAATCACACCCAACACAATATTTTTTAGTCCCGCAGAGATCGAGGAGGACGATAGTATCGAGTGGCCATTTTTCATCTTCACCTGATAGATTTGTGCTCCCCACATGTCCGCCTCCCTGGCTGTTGTAGTAAAATGTGTTTCATCAATTGAGGTTTATGTCTGAATATCGAACAAATACACCAGACTGAGTCTAAATTAGGCTGTAAACATGATTAAAACAAGCATCTGTTTGGTTTAAAATGTGTGTTTCTGTGCTTTAGTGCGTTAAATCCATGTCAGGCTGAAAGGAAAACATCCTGAAATCTTTATCACAGCCACACTTTGCTCTGTGACTCTGTTAATGCTCCTCGTTGAAGCAGCCAGGAGCCACAGCATCCCCAGGATCGTATGTCTCATTTCTCCGTTGTCTTCTAGGGCCTTGTGATAAATCACTTCACTGCGATTGGCTGCTGAGGTTTCGCTAGCATCCAGGATGGAGATTGTTTTACATCTTTTAAGAAGCAAATGTTACAAAGACATCTCCTCTTTCCACTGCAGCACATCTCTTGGATCAGAAGGTTCTCCAGGGTGAGCTCTGCAGCGTTAGATAGAAATAACCTTTATGGTCCCACAGTGGGGAAACACGGTTGACACAGCTGCAACTTAACAGAGGCAGGAACATGAATATTCACACAAATATTAAAAAATAAGAATAACAAACTGCATAGTAGGGATACATTTGCAACATAAGAATAGCACGGTCAGATTAAAAGCAATGTGTAGCAGTTAATTTAGAGAAGAAAAATGTGCAGAATATGCATGAATACATGCAACATTTACTGAAGTAAGACCAGAACTACTTCAACACAGTTTTACTGAAGTAAAATGAAAAACATCCAGCTAAGAAATTACTCAAAGGTAAAAAGTAATTGGTAGAAAGGCGACTTTAGTACTAAGTAGAGCATTAAAAATCATTTAATATTTAAAAGTGACATTATCAGATGAACCAAAATCTGAAGATATGTGGACATTTTAGTAGATTAAAGACCAACATTACAATAATTAATATAAATAAAATTATTACAAAATGAGGCAAAATAATCTTGTTTTTTTTCAATGTAAAACTTTAATAAAAACTGTAGGTGTGTTTCTGTGTCTGCTGAGGTTTTGGTTAAAACAAGTTTGATCTTCATTCAGTGAATTTACCAACAACGAGTATCCAGAAATTTTACTCCAGGCAGAATGGCAATACTTCGTGATAAAATTACTCAAGTAAAAATAAAAAGTACAGCATAGTAAAAATACTCAAAAGTATTTACATCCTTTAGTATTTACAACTGGCTTTCAGGAAACTTTTAGGTTCCTCTCTCTTCCAGCTCACCTGAATCAGATGAATAGTTCGTTATCATGATGCAAAGTTTGTCCGACCTGGAATTTTGTCTTTAAGTTTCTGCAGATTAATTTTGTGTGACATATTTTCTGTTTTCCTTTAGCAGATTATAAGTTGTACCTAGAAATGTTTGTTTTGTTTGATGCACCTTTGTGCTCTTATGTTCAGAAGACTGAGAGATTCTCTAACAAAGCAAGAAAATAAAATGATTGGTGCTCTTATGTGGGCTTAAATTAACTCTAATTGGACTTCTGGGGGCTGACTGGCCTTAATATTAATTAAGACTTACTAAGGTCTCAGCAAATGAGGGTTTCTGATTGCTCCTCATTTTCTTTTTTCTATTTTTACAACTCCCTTTATAGTTTTGGTGGTTTAAAAAGCCAAGTATTTATTTTAATCTTTCTTTATTGTGTTGGTCTGCATACAACACATTTATTTTAATCACAGCATTAACTGTCTGCAGGCAATGAAAAAGACAAATGCCAGAGGAGATTGAAGACTTTATTAAGAAATTAATTTACAGTGAATTAATGCTCATTGTTTCCCGTAAAGCACCCTTGACAAAGAGCACATTCACAGCTGCTGCTGCAGGGCATCTGCTAATTAGACAGCAGAGATAAACGCAAATATTTGACTCAGCAGAACTGCAGGCTGGTGGGACCGTTCTGTCGCTTTCCTCCGATTGGCAAAACTACATCTTAGTTAAAAACTATGAAGCATTATTTGTCGTCTAATGCTGTCATGCTCAACCTCATTGAGTGAAAACATTTTTTAAGTAAACCACCAGATGATAAAGGTTAGGACTTTTTATATTCCCCCCACTTGAAGTGATTCTCCACTTCCATTTTAGTTATTTTATTTCATTCGCTCAATAGGAAAACTTCATGGAACAACTAAAAGACGTCGTGAATGAAAAGGAGCAGAAATACGTATAAACTTGCACCTATTCACATAAAAAGGATATTATATTCATCTCAGGAGACAATTAATCTTATTTCAAATACGCAAAAAACACAACAAAACATCATTTTATTCAAGTTTTTTTTTTCCATTTCACATTTTAACCCTTACAAAAGAGAAAACAGTTTACTTTTTTTTTTTGGGAGATTTTGATATACCAGATCAAAGTAGTTCTTTACTTTGAAATACAAGGTTTGAAAAAGACGGTTTGCGATTTTTTAAATCTACAATGTTTTGAGGTTTATCTTGCATCCAAACCTTGGACTCATGCACTCATCTCTTCATGTATTATGGAATCAAACCTTCTGGTAAATTTAACTCTGGGTATTTTTCCAACAAAACTACTGGAAAACAGCTGGCTGAGTTCAAAATAACTAACATTTAGAAAACGTAGAAAGGCTATAAATGCTATTAATTCTGCAGAAATTTGGCTGTAACGGTTTTTAAACATTTCATTACGTAGAATGAAAAGTAGGCGTTGCCAGGATGCTTTGCTTTGTAATCCACGGCTGCCATCTTCTCATCGGTGGACATGACCTTTCCACTAGGACAATCACTCTGCTTGCATGTCAACAAACCCAGCATATAAAAAAAATTTAACCAGCAAAGCTTGTGTGGCAGAATTTCAAGTTTTGATTTCATTTGCAGCTCTCTGAGCTCTTATGTTGGATTTTCATTCTGATTTTGTTCTGTTCACTTGAGAATCTCTCTTGTCTTACATTTTTCTACTCGCTAAAAGCCCTCTGTCCTTCTTCTGGATGTCTTTCCCTCAAGCCTCCCTTTTTGGATCTTGTTTTATCTCCCGGTTCTTGCAGCCTGACGTCAGCAGCGACACATTCCTCCTCCTCTGCGGTTCACCTTCAGTCGCCTCCAACTTCACGTTGTCTCCCTGCTGGTTTGCAGCCCCTGCTTTCTGTTTCTGCTCCCCGCCTCACACATCTTGCACTCTGTATCTGCATCACATGCAGCCAGTACTTTTCCCTTACTCCAGTCTCATTTATATTCCTCCCTCCCCATTCCTTTTTCCCCTCCTCCCTCCCCCCTTTGTGCTGTTTGCGTTGTCTGGGTCACTCTGAGTTGCTAAAAAAAGCCTTTCCCTGCACTGAGCTCTGTGGTATCATTTATCTAGTGCATTATTCTTCATGCAAGCAGCTGAACAAACAGCGTTGCCTTCTCATAGGTGCTGAAATCCTACTCCAGTCCAAATCAGATGATTTTTGACTGATTTGACCAGACGAGTCAAAGCAGGTGATGCTTGCTGCTCCACGACTTGTTCTAATTTTAGCTGAGAAGCTCGGCTCTATCAAAGCTAATATCACTGAGTTACCAGAACAGATGACAAAAAAGTAGAAATATAACTCATCTTATTTTTCTACAGGGATTTTTAATGTTATTGTTCTTTGCCTACGGAGTAGAAATGAACATGGCCATAATCCGTGCATGTTCCGCCTCACTCCGGCAGGAGGATGTGCCGGTGTTCTGCAGGTGTTCAGGCGGTGGAA